CACTTTGAAGCCACACTTTCAACAAATACTCGAAATATGAGTCCCCCATCGCCCCGAACGATATCACTCCACCTACCACCGCTGAGAGTCTCGAGACTAATGCAAACACTCACCGGTGAACATTGGCCTATCGCTGGCGAGTTCATACGGGACCAGACCCTGCTTCCCTGCAGCTTGGAAAATGGACTCCTGGCATTTGTCCACAGCCTCGGCGTACTTATGATCTCCTGTGTGCTCCGAAAGATAACGAAATTCGAGTTGTAGTGTTCCGACCTAACAGGAGTCAACACACTCTGGAGTCATTGATTAAACTGATTTTTCGAAACTCAGAATCGCTCCTTAGACGTATAATACCATGCTAGAATTGATTCAATAAATATGGCGTCTATCACCTCGGCCAGTATGAAACCCGACATCCAGCCGTTTCCCGAAGCACGTCCAGTTCCCAGATCGATCTGTGCTCGGGGGCAGCCTGGGTAGTCCGTGAAGCCCTATGCAGATCTACAGGATGGAAAGGGCCGTACCGAGCTTACTGTCATCATATGGTCTGCTGCTTCTCTAGCCTTATCGAGGAAAATCTGTCGGCCGCTGAGACTATGTGCAGAGAGGAGACCACCGAGCACACGAATTGTGATTTCGAAGAAAGAATGCAAGCCTCGCGGGCGGTCGAATTTGAGGTTGTCCCTGAGCCCAAAGAGCCTCCCAAAACACCAAGGCACTTCCCTACGTTATCCACTGTGTAGCCTCGTCGAACTCTTTCTCTAACCCCATAATCTTCAGAGTGGATAAAGAGTCTATCATCATCACCGCAGCATCACACCATTGCCTACAAGGAAATCATCCAGGAAACACATTCTTCAATCGGTTTCTCATTAGAAATAATTTTCCGATTTTTATTAAACTCTAGAGAAAACAATGTTTGTCGGAATACATGAACATAGTCAACTACTTGTGCTGACAGGAATTTGGAAATTTCGAGGAAATTTTGAGAAATTATCGTTGATTTCGTATGGATTTGCGGAAACTTGCGAGCTCAAACATGAATTACCCACACTAGAAAACATTATTTCGCAAAGCTATATGGACCCCTACTGCTTACCAACAACGAAGATAACAATGAGTGACCTTCCCGCGTGGCGTTACCTCCCAGGACGGCCCGTCAAAGGAGCGATCTCGTCCTTTCCCCATGCATACTGCTTATAGTTCCTCCACACATGCCGCATAGCCTCCCTCACTTCCTCAGCCCACGCGACCTAACGAGCAACCTCAGCTATAACTGGTGCAATGGAGTTTCGCCCTAGTGATATGAAAAACACCAGTGAAATACATATTTCACGACTACTGCATAGCGCGAATATCGGGTTTTCTCCGAGTTTTACGCCACTTCACGTAGAACAGGTGAAACTCCAATGTTGGAATATATGTTCGCTTTCCTCAGCTGAGTTCAAGAGTTTCTCTTTAGTTATCGAAGTTTACATACAAATTCGGAGGTAGAAGTATACAAAAATCAATAAAAAATCTCGCTAAATTTCCCCAGAATTTTCATTTTGTCACCAACACATTGTGCATATTCTCCTACACTGGTAGGGGGAAAGAACTTACGCTTTTTTCATCAGAATCAGCAAGCTCCTCCTCAGTGAAGTTGGCAAGCCACTCAGCAGGGAACTTTCCCTTAGTCGTTTCACTCGCTACCTAATCCCAGCGATAGTCATATGTGCACCCCAAGACGAAACCACTATATACTTTTTCAGCGGACCGTTCCGGTGCTGCTGGGCTCGACAATACACTTGTTGTTGTGTCAGTGACCACCACTCGTGGCGACCTACTGCGGAACTCAATAGTAAATTTGACCTAGTGAAATCAGTAGCTCACGTTGCGACATCATTTCCCACGGTATCACTGTTTCTCGCAGAACCCTGAACATCCACAATAGCAACAGTATGGAATACGAAGGGCCGTACCGGAGTTTTTGAGGGCTCGGGTTCCGGTGCTCGCAAATTGTGATGTTCCTCCTTAGTATCACGTACAGTGTCATCAGCAAGTTCACTGAACGATGAAATCCGCCCGAAATCCCTATGTAGTTCTCACCGTGTGCTTGTATGTCCTCGTAAATTCTTCATCTGAAATTTCTCCAACTCTACGACCGTCTGAAACTCTTTCATTTTCGCGGTGTTATCGCTAGGTATATTTACTTCACTAGACTGATCGATAGATGCATGCCGTTGGGGAATTGAGTCCAGCAAAGTCAACGTTGTTAACGTTGACACTAGCAATAGTACAATAACGAATCCTGACACAGTGTGGTGAGTTCACAGCATAGAAGTGCTATAAAGTATGGCACCTAGTAGGAAATTCTTGTGCTCCGTAGTGGCCCTCCCTTTGACGTTTCTGTATGTTGTCGTAATGCGAGCCGGTCTACGGGGTCGTCTGGCATTGGCAATTTGAACCATGGAGATGAATTGTGAACTGATTGGTATCGATTACGAGGTGCTGCAAAAAATGCTCACTGAGCTCACTAATCATAGAAGTTTATATACAAATTGGGAGAATATATACGGTAAATGTACAGAAATTAACAATAATTTTCCAAAATTTCCGCGGAGTTTTTTTTCATTTTGTCATCAACACATGTGGTTGACCATGTGCAAGTTTCATCACACTGTCGTTCATGTGTGCGGATGTGGTGCTGCAAAAAAATGTTCGCTCTCCTCAGCTGAGCTCGACATTTTCCTCACTAGTCAAAAAAGCTTATATACGAGTTGGGAGAATATATACGATAAATTTTACAGAAAGTAACAATAATTTTCCAAAATTTCCTCGAAGTTTTTTTCATTTTGTCATCAACACATGTGGTTGACCATGTGCAAATTTCACCACACTGTCGTTCATGTGTGTGGATGAGAAAGCGAACTCCGTAGCACACAATGTGTCTCTCTCTCGGGTGAAGGACGCCTTAGCTCGAATAGTCTACATCTATTGAGAATAATCAGTTTCCCTTCAAAGACATTCCTCTCCTACCTAGTATGGTATCAACTCAATGAGTAAAGCGCGACCAATATCAGGCTTCTATAGTTTCCTCATATATCGTCGCCATTTTTCTCTTTACCAAGATTAAGTTTGATTTCTCTCATATGGTTGTGTTGTACGATGATTTGGACAACCCTTGTAACACGGCTAACGAGTTTGCATAATAGCGGTCATAATCGCTGTCCCAATTCTCTGTAGAACACAATATGTCTCTCTAGAGTGAAGAGCTCCCGCAGCTGAGCTTATAATGAAGATAGTAGTCGTCTGAGGCTAAGTATGCCTTGGTAGGCATTCTCGTGTGGTTATATCCAGTGTAGTGTTGTCTCAATGAGCGAACCAGTAACAAACACCTCCTTTTTTCAGCCGACCTGTTCCTCAGTTGAATTTTATGAAAGAGAAATATCGTTGATATTTTATTGGTGTTTCACCCTAGTGATATGAAAAACATGAACTCGGATTACTCACTGAGTATTACGCCACTTCACGTAAAACGGGTGGTGAAACTTAAATGTAATATAGAAGCTGTTTTATTGTGTCTCGAATACCATATTTCGATATGATTAAATTCATCAACAGTTTTCTGATAAAAATTTCCACTGAGCATTTGGGCAACAGTGAATTCACTGAGCATTCAACGGTATGATCGTACCGCTTCAAATTGATGATAACCAGTCACAATTCGCGTCATCGACAACACGACACTGGGAGAGCCGGGTTGGTCGTTATACATTCAAATTCGATGTTTAATAGTAGTTGTGAAAGTGCGCTGTTGATTTAGCGCGCGCCCAGGCGATGATGAATTTTCACATGTGAAACCTGAGTTGCTGAGAACGTATGAGTGAGTGATGGTTGCAGAAGGTCTCGATGGTGGTGAATCGACTGACGGTTGTTATGGCATCATGACTTTGCGGGGAAGATATGGGAAAATACAGATGCACAGAATTTTCTTTTTTTTGAGGAAATTCACCAAGTTGATTGAAAAAGTTTACGAAACTACTGTTTTGAGTTATCTATGCATTTCAAGTGAAGTGATGGGAACCGACGAAAATGGGTAAAATCGTTCGTGTTATCAGTTCCCTGTTTTTGATGGTCATTAAGGAGACCATACGGACATCTAACACAAGTAGTGTCCTGCGGGAAAATACGTGTTGAATTGCTAGACTGAACACAATCCTCACGCTGTTGATCTCAGATAATAGTGGTCCTAGGATGACGATCGAACTAGACAAGGAAAAGCGATATATTACTTCACGGTAATACTATATGCAACATGTTTGCAAGTATGCATTTACATGTGTTGGTGACAGTGTGGAAATTCTGAGGAAATTCTTGTTGGCTTCTGTACACTAATTCGTATATCAATTGCCGAGCTCAGCTGAGGAGAGCAAACATGTATTGCAACACTGTTCATTGGCGCGGCGCGAGAAAATTTACAGTGGGAAATTATTTGTCTCTTTTGAGTTAGCTCTTGTGAGAACGAAAACCATATAGTTGTTGTTATTGTTGTCGTTGTTGTCGGTTTTTCCCTTGTCAACTCTAGAGGGTTTTATACAGGATTTGACTCATTTCCGGTCGCAAGTCTTCGAAACCGCCTTTTTTTCCTTATTTTTTCATTTTTTATTCATTCTTTATTCATTTTTATTCATTTTTTATTTATTTTTTCTCTGAGGTGGTATTGAATAATTGTACGATTATAGAGGAGCACGCCATTGAATGAAATGAGGGGATTCCTACATAGACAGAGGCCAATTAGTATCACTGATTTTGGGTTAGGCCTCTTGAGAAGCCACAGCGGGGGGAGATGGACGTCGTGGTGTCACCATCCGCGTCCTCACAAGCGTCATCACGATGCAGATCTGATCGGGGTGGAAGAGCACACAGGCATGCGAGTTTTAGTGAGGACTCTAGTGAGCAGGAAAATGATCATACCAAGTGAGTTTATATTGGCTCACTTTCGAGACGGGTTACTCTAGTGTTCGCTGTTATGGTGACAGTTTCAGTTAGTGTTGGGGGAAATATGCATATGGTCAACTACTTGTGTTGGTGACTATACGAGAAATCTGAGAAAATTTTGGGAAATTCTTACCCGAATTCATATATGAGCTCGGTGATTAGTGATCACATATTTCTCTAACCTTGATTTCAGTACCCCTTTAGCGAGAGCTAGACTTGTGTCTAACATGGGACGAGGAAAGATCGATTCCAAGGAAATATTCAAAGCACTAGAGGTAGTAGTCGGTGAGAGTATATGGTTGGGCGATGTTGTGTTATCATCAGCCCGATGAAGATGGCAAAGTAGACAGTGTAAAATTACTAGAGTTCCTCAAAAAATCGGGACTAGGTAAGGGCAGGTTTAATTGGGTGATATATTCCGAAATAGTGAATAATTTACCTGGAAGTTAGCCATGTGGGAATAACGAATTATTAACGCATTCCTATAAGGCTTTGGGCCCGTATTTGAATGCTCGTCGTGGTAGAGACATTGTCAGTCGTGGTTTTGAACTGAAGTTTAGTAACTGCAGGATGAAGTTCACTGCTGCTCATTAGAAAGCATGTGGCGAGGACTATAAACAACAAAGACGGCTCTAGGGAGTTGATGGAGACAGGCGAATAAAGGGCCTTACTCTGAAGCCGTCTCGTCTCTGAATGTGTTGATGGTTTACGAGCGTTTTGCGACCATGTTATTCATGGTGTAAATCTGCTATGTGAGAAAATAAGTGAAAATTGTGGGAAAATTGGTATGGGAAATTAGGAAAATCATTATGAGAGTAGTGATATGACTAAGACTAGCTGAACTGAATTGTATTCGCTGTTATGTTTTTGCTTTCCTCAGCTACCTCTGATGGTCGTATGAGGAATACGTACAAGGAGCTCAAGAGTCAGGACTTTGTTGACTTTGAGAGGTTCCAAACACTGAAGACTAGCAATGAACTAGTGAGCATTTTTCGGGATAATTTTTGTGGCGCAGTGACGGTATGATGGTCAGGTTGGGAAGGCGTTTCGAGGAGAGCTGGCTATCTCCGATTTTGAAGCCTTCTGTGACGTTATTAACGATGCTTATAAAGATTTGGAGGACTGTACTGAGGGCGAAAATGTAGATGGGAGGAATTTTGTGGCGCGTGACGGAATAAAAGAAGTATTGCCGATGGTTTCTGTGAAGTTATAAAGATTTGGAGGACTGTTGATGGGAGCAATTTTGTGGCGCGTGACGGAATCTAGGACGTATTGATGGTGGTGGATCGCTCAGGCCGACTATATACCAACATTGGCTACAGTGAATCCGGACTATTGGGCGATCAGTGTTTGTAGTGTACATGCACAGCGCTACTCGATAGGTGATAGCAAGGTAGGAGGGAGATGTGATGTGGGAGAGGAGTGGTATGTATTTTTCGAATTCACAGGTTCCATTTTGTCTACAGTCAACTTGCAAGCCTCTTAACTACTGTATGGCGGTGGAATTACATGGCAAGGAGAAGGTGGCAGGGGAGAACTCTGATATCGATTATATTAGATATTTTATGGCTCATTCGAGTTTATCTGCTCGAGTATTTTATGAGGATCTACATGCTCTGACGGCTAGTATGGGAGATGTTGTGAATATTCCACAAATTCGGATTTTTTTACTTGAACGATGTTGTATGGAGGATCTGAGAGTGTGGTCAGGTACACGAGCACGTTGGGCATGAGCCTAGTGGGAGGAACTTTAACGAGAGGGTCTTGCTACAGCCGAAAGGCATACCTCACAACCCACTTATCAATGCTGGTAGGTCGGCTATATTGTATTCTGTACAGTGAATTTTATATGCAAAGGTGAAAATGAGCGTTTTCTGTCGAGAATAATGATGATCAATTTTAAACTTCCTATATGCGATGAAAATATTGTTGTGATAAGAGTAAGCACCAGGAACTGTAGTGGCTCCTTGCAAGAATAACTATTCGATAGGTGTGAGTAGCAGCAGTAGTGGTAGTGTATTATTGATACTAGGTGCTATTATGGTATCATCGCTATTGTATATGGACAAATCGGAATGGGAACGATATGAAGCGGTAACTGAGACGTGGCAGCATCTAGCCGGGATGTCTAGGAGGCCTCATATACAGTGAGTGGAATATGCTGTATTAGTATTGATTGAAAATTCATCTTTTCTGAGGTCACTTTTTTTTGAGATGCAGTGTGCGTTCTCTGTATATAGTTACAAAAAAACAAGAAAAAGCTGCAAAAACCGTACAGAGTTTTTTGGTTGAAAAATTGTTGGAGCGAAAAAATCGGATATCAGAATGATTCACAAGTCTATTACTTGTGATTCGCGAATCGTCACGCGCCACGAAATTCCGGAGAGTGAGTTTTCCTGGCTGCACCCTGTCATCGTTCTGAGCTTGTTATCAGATATGATACGTTTATGGGGGAGCGAGCAACGGCGAATCGGAATTACTGTTTGGCGTATATGATGGCTGAAGAGAACGCCTTCCCACCAAACACAGATATTCAGAAGACGCTAGAGTCGTACTTTCAATGGTAGGTAGACACTTCGAATTGTTGTGGTAGTAGGGCTGTTTTTAAGGTGCTCACTTGAACTAGACTGTGAGGAGATGTCTGTTGTTGCTGCTACCCTTGCAAACGGTGGTATTTGTCCCAAGACAGGTAGCAGTTGTTGTTGGTCCCGGGTTCGATCCCTGGTCACTGCATTTTTTCAGGCGAACGTGTGTTTAGTCAGGACACGGTATCGTCGTGTTTGTCTATGATGATGAGTTGTGGTATGTACGACTACTCTGGCGAGTTTGCATTCACATGTGGTTTCCCTGCAAAATCAGGGGTAATATTAGTAGTGTATTCAGCTCGGTTAAAAATTATTCATTTCAGGTCTCTGGCGTTCTATGTATTGTCATACCAGGAGTTTGTGGAATCGCCACGTTTTCGCCTCGGCTGGATGCCTTGGGAAATTCTGTGCGAGGAGTGAAGTTCTGTCAAATGTTGTCTAAACGGCTTCCGGTGCACGCTTTCGGCGGTCCTCAAGAATCTGTCACGGACGAGGTAGTAGCGCTCGCCCAGATGATCGATTATGTGTAATGTGTGGTATTGATCTGTTAGGCACAGACTCCGCCGAATCACCCTTTAGTGGAGCATAGGATACGTAATTGTTTAGGAGATACTTTCAGATGGCGTACCAGTGCCCAGAGTGAGTATTGGTGTGCGTATGAGGGATATTGACTATATCATGCTCAGTCGATGTACTGACCAACTTTACTTTAACAGAATATTCTAGTTTGTGGTGGAGTGCTGCTGTTGGTGATGCTATTAGGATTCGTCATCTGGCGGCTAGGTGAGTGGGTTCGTTTCTGGTGTAATTTTTTATACGGCATTTTTTTCAGAGGAATTGACGTTCGTACGGCAGACTACGATCTGCGTACTGCTCTGCATTTGGCTGTGTGTAATCATCATCGAGAAACTGTGAAACTGTTGATGTTCTTGGGGGCGGACCCGGAGTTTCGCGACCGCTATAACAACACATCGGTTATGGTAGTAGGCGTTTACTGATAAGCACTCCAACGGTTTAGGAAAGTGTTGGAATATACAGTGTGTTCGATTTTGATTTTTTCTCCGAAACTAATATGCGTGGCTCGCCCTAACTCTTCGTGATTGATAATAATTATTCATATTAGTATATTGCCCACTTATAGACCTCGTAATACTGGGGGTTTCAGATTGCTAATCATCGAATTGGTGAAGTCACAACATTTTCTCGTTAGGGACTATCAAAATCGAACACACTGTATGTTTCCTCACTAATTGTAGGAGTTTGAATACATATTTAGTTAGTGTTTGAAAATCAACAAGAATTTTCCAAAATCTCCCCGAAACATGTGCATGTTTTCTTTTCCACTACACTGGTTTAGGACGCTCAAAGAGAGTCGGAGGATCGCTGTGTGCGGGAGCTGAAACGCGACATCGCTCTTCGGGCGAGTTGTCCTCCTATGTTGCCTGGTGAAGATGGCGATATCGTCCTGGCACGGTATGAAAACTGAAAAAAAATATTATTGGAAGTGCTATTCTGTGCTGTTGTTGTTGAGGTACTTCGCTGATATGCCCTGGCCACTAGATTCACGGCGCCTGATTCGAGCATTGGAGTGGTATGGTCTTCCGAGAGATTCTCCGAGGGTTCAGGCTCTACTAAAAGTGAGTTTTTGTATTTAACCGTATTTTTAGGTGTTGAATGGTCTATATCTGGTTCAGGATTTGGGGTGGTATGGTAGTGTTGGAGTCGGTGGGATGCCCGACAGTTTGTCGGTGCCTGGGTGCTTATCAGTTCCTGAGGATATGAATCTCACTGGCGAGGCTGAGGCACTGTAGGAAGAGAGGGAATTTGACCGCGCGCCACGAGATTATGGGTGGTAGATACTCGGCTGATGAATTCTCGAGAATCGCGAAGAAGCATGATATCGCTGTGAAGGCTCTTTGTGGCAAGTTGATCGTCCCTAATTGGCCCAAGTTTACACAGAGACTGGTAAGTGGGTAATCGAAAGGTCCCCGGTTCTATCCTCGGCTACGGCATCTCGTGTCAGAACGAATGCTTCTCTGCTTGTTGCGAGGATCACCCTCATCAGGAGATCATCACAGTCGGTGTGTGTACGACTGACAGTCAGCAGTATGCTCGAGATGAAAGCGCCTTGCCAGGTGAATAACACTGTTGCTATTCGAACCATCCTAGTTCGATTCTTTGTAGGGTCACCCTCAGCAGCTAGTTGTGTATCTGAGTACTCGCCGGTATGGACCCCCGAGGAGTGTCTTAAATGCTTCCCAACGGGCGGACTCATACGGCCGATCCTCTACTGCATGGCGGTGGAAATGCTGGGCTTGGAAGAAGTTCATAAGTGGATGGGGAGAGAGCCCAGTGGCGAGAAGCAAACGTATTTAGGCCTTGACCATTTGAATAGGTATTTGCTCTTGTTAGTATGTCTACGATGGAGTTGGTGGTGTTCTCAGGCCACATAACCCCTTTGTGATGATGGGGACGATAAATCTGTGTGCGTTGCTGTCTAGGGGGTTGGATAAGGAATAGTAAGGTTTCATTCTGGACATTGATCGATTATGATGATACATATTAAAAATTTTCGTATATTTCGATGTGGTAATACCGTAGATCTCCGTAATTCCTACTCATCGAAGTTACAACACTTTTTCTTTTCGTACTATGAAATTCGAACATACTGCGGTCGGGTTGTGGGACGATTCTAGGAGGCATTGATGCAGCGTGATATGCTGTCTGTGTGTCATGGGTGATGGTGTTTTGGTATGCATATCAATAACCGAATTTTTCCTAACACGTGTGAGGTATATTTGTTGACCAGCATAGCAGTTGATAGGAAAATACGCGAGGATAATCTACAGTGTGATGATGCCTTGCTTGTCTCAGTAGTGGAACTGGCATGAGGCCCTCGTTGGAAAGGGTCCTCGAGAACTGGAGGAAGTTGAGTGGTTCGGACACGGTCCCACCGGAAGCTGCTGAGCTTGGGAAGAAACTTGACAGAAGGTAAGTCGTTTAGCAGTTTAGAGTATTCGGGCGCGCGCTTTTTACAAAGCTGTATGATTCGACGCCAGGCACTCGGACTTGGCACGGAGTATGGCTTATCGCTTGCGGTCTATCCATCGCTTCCCAAATGGGGCGGATATTGACGACGCGATTCAATTGATGTTTGAGACGCATGAGCGCGAGGTATGATAGTGGTAGGTCCCGGGTTCGATCCCGGGATGGTGCATTTTTAGGTCAATGTCGCTGGTGTTGCAGCAGTGGCGGCCTCCTTTGCCAACAGTGGAGTGTGTCCGAAGACCAACGAGAGGGTTTTCAAGGATCAGACAATCCGGTATGCACTCAGCCTTATGTACTCCTGTGGCATGGACCAGAGGTAGCAGGTTTTGAGAGATAACGCTCCCCAGGGTTTGATAACAATTCCATGACATTCACATGGGAAACTGATTGAAGAATGTGCGGGAAATTCAAAATGAGTACCCCTAGGAACATTATAGGTTTCTGGATGATTCCCTGCTGATGGTCACGAATGAGGCAACTATTTTTAGGTCGGGTATGTGGGCCTACAACCTCGGTATACCGGGTAAGAACTCCAACCTGGGCGCCGGCATGGCAGTAGTACCGGGCGTACTCGGCATATGTGTGCACTGCCCGAGTGCGGAATTCGGGGAGGAGTCGGCAGAGAAGACTATCAGAAATTATGGTACTTCCGAAGAGTCTTATTCGGTAAGTTAGGACTCGACTTGAATGGTCTCGGCTGGGGTGTCTTCGCGTATTTTTTAACTATGAAGTTTCAGTAAACACATTTCACTTTGCAAAAAAACCCATATGAATAACGCGTTGAATACGTGATGTGTTTTACGTGGAATAGGGTGATTCGTCTGGTGTAATTGCACTTCATATCACCGCGAATATCACGTTTTTCACATGGAGTATTACGGGTGGAATTTCACTGTAGTTGTAGTAGATCGCACCATATTTGTTTGTTTGTAGTTGAGTCGTAAAGGTCTGGATTTCTTCTATCACATGGAGGAGACATTCAACTTTCACCTGTTCAAGCGCCACGACCCCGTATTGCGAGGAAGCGACCGTCATGTGGACCCAACACTCTATTACGGTTCCGTCAAACATGAGCTCACGAATCAGCTTATTATGGCCTGCGCTAATAAGGACGTTTATACGGTAAACCTCCTGTGGGCCCCGGTGCTTGCCATACCGTAAATGCCTCAGGTCCAGTACCTTCTTCAGCTGGGGGTGGATCCGAATGTTGCCGATTACGACAGTAGAACCGCTGTGCACTTGGCTGCGGCTTCTGGTGTGTTCGGGAGTTCACATGGTAGTAGTAGTGGCATGATGTTGATGGTCAGGTTGTTTGAGTGCTATGAAGTTGCTGATGGACGCTGGGGCTCGGCTGAATACGTACGATAGATGGGGTAACACACCCTATGAGGAGGCCAAGAGGCATGGGCGTAAAAACATCGTCAAATTCCTCGAGAAACTTGTTATGGAGGTAGGCGAACTCAGTGGGCTCTAATTGTGATTGATTCGAGATGGTCGTGTCTCACCGCCTTAGGGCTCGCCGTCTATGCGAGAGGAGCGTAAGACGAAGTCATTGGACTCTGATGCAGCTGAGGATGACTTTGTTAATGATGCTGAAGCCGTCATGGAGTACTTTGGCGATGTGGAGGTGGGAACCTTTACGACTGGCCTTTTTCATAAGTGGTTGATATAAGGGCGAATCGACTGATTTAGGTGCTGGGAGTTGAGGGGGAGCCGTTGTGGTATGATGATAAGGACCCGAAGGAATGGAACACTGGAGTGGGTTGAAGTTAAGCCCAGGTCTGTGGGGCACTTGGTATTGTTCAGATGCCGGCTGAAGTTGAGGTTCTTGGTATAGACGATGCCCCAGGGAGCGGTGGTCACCAATAATGATGGTGGCAATGTTTTATCCAATATTGGAGTTGATACACTACTTTTGACGAACCGTTTGTGGTTACCTGTTTACTTGAACATAACTTTGATAAACACTTGCTAAAAATACACAGTGTTGAAAGTATAGGGGAACTTGCGTTGATTCAGTTGGCGGGAAATGGGTACTGGAGACCAACTGCCCCGAGGGGCCTAACCGTTGCCTGATCCAGAGTTGTCACTTCTACTGTATTGGATGCGACAACGAGGTGCTGCGGACCGGCGATCAAGACGTTCTATTTCGACTCTGCTCCTATGTGGTGTATGTCTAGCCACTGCTTATGTGTGCGGTTCGACCTTATTTATCACACCAGCACTACGACAAGGGGCCAGGCCGGCTAGTCTCCGGGGCGGTTCGGTTGTGGGTAACTTAGCTGTGGGGTCCCTGTCTGGTGGGAGTCGGCCGAGGGCATGGGAGAGGTCAACACTGCCATATGTATTCGGTGCTGCTGCTGCTGTCGCTGTAACACTGCTTTCCCTGGCTCTGAGCATGTCCCGTCATAGGCCCAAGAGGTAAGTTGAGGCTGGAGTGGTATCCGGGGTTGCAATGGTGACAGCCGTGTGCTTCAGCGCCTCCACTGAAGGTGGCCGGTCAGTGGCTCGAGGATCCTTAGCAAGTTGGTGGAACAACATGATGTTCGATCCCAACAGAGGTATGTTCATGGACCCCTCCAGTAGAGACAGTCTTCTAGTAGGTGATGCGGCTCGACGTCAAGTGGGAAGGACCGCATTCGACGCCTTGTCCGATTCCTCTGCCCGAGCCATCCATCGGGCTCAGGAGGAGTCCATGAACCTAGCCACAGTGCCCCTCGAGGGCCTCCTTATTGGTCTGGCATCAGAGCGGAGCGGTGGCGCTAGCAAACTGCTGCGGGAAGCGGGAGTTCAGGTCGCTGAGTTGAAGCATTTGGCCCCATTGCAAGCGGCACCCGACCTTGTCAGTTGGGGAGCGGTTGAAAGGGTTCCACTAGACGACGAGGTCGTCGAGGTGATTCGAGGATGCGTTGATAAGGCCCAGGGGCCGATCACAACGGAGGCCCTTCTCGAGGGGGTGATAGGCAAGATGCTGGCCAGGCCGGCTGGTATGGAGCCAGAGCTGATGGGAAGACTACAGAGTGTTCTTCAACGTCTGCAGGAGTGGGGAGAAGAGGACGCTGAAAAAATACCGGTGGGGGGATTCGTACCGGGGACCTCTGGCGGCAGTGTTTTGGAATCGTGTGGACGGAACTTGACGGCGCTGGCGAGAGAAGGGAAACTCTTGAAGTGTGTTGGACGCGACGCTGAGATCGGGCGCATGATACAAGTACTGAGTCGAATGACCAAGAACAACCCGGTCCTGCTGGGCGAACCGGGCGTGGGCAAAACGGCCGTAGCAGAGGGCATGGCTGAAGTGAGTCTCGGCGTTATGTACTGCTAACACATCCTCATGTGTAGCTCATCGCGAGGGGAGAAGTCCCGACCCATCTGGCTGGTGTAGCTATCTGGGACGTGTCCATCGGCAGTCTGCTGGCCGGCACCAAATACCGAGGGGAGTTCGAAGAGCGGCTCAAGAGGCTTGTTAAGGAGGCCACTGATGCTGATGGGAAGGTAACTCTCTCTGCCCTTGGGGGTCTTGTCTTCGACCTGTCTGTCTCTCATGTTAGATTATTCTGCTTATCGATGAGCTGCATACGATAGTCGGCGCGGGGGCGACAGGAGATGGTGCGATCGATGCGGCTAATATCCTCAAGCCTGCACTCAGCCGGGGGGAGCTCCGAGTCATTGGGGCTACTACACAGTCGGAGTATGATAAGGTGAAGTTCAACCGTCACTGCGCCACGAAATTATCCCCTTTGTAGTACATTGCGAAGGACCCAGCACTAGAACGACGGTTCCAACCAGTAGTGGTGCCCGAGCCTACACAAGCTCAGGCAGTGGACATGCTCATGGGAGTAGCTAGTCTTTATGAAGAGCATCACTTCGTCAGGTGAGTTGACTGTAGGGACGGTTACTCTCGGGCACTTGATGCTAAGCTGGTCAGGTTCACTGATGATGCTATAGAGGCATGCGTGAAACTATCGTCTCGTTACATTCCCAGTCGGCGACTACCAGACTCGGCGTTTGACGCTATGGATGAGGCAGCAGCTCGGAAGAGAATTCAGCAAGGAGCGGTAGGGCTTTTCTCTGTGTGAGCCTTGTTGGTGTATTACCTTTATCAGCGGCCAAGCAGTCGTATTGAAGTGAACGCAAACGATGTCGCCCAGACTGTAGCTCAGTGGACCGGGATTCCCCTCGAGGAGGTTGGTCGCCATCTCAGGGGTGTTTGAGAGTATCTGTCCTCAGCTGACCAAGGATGAGTCTGCTAGACTGCTCCATATGGAGGAGCGGCTCGACAGTCGAGTGATAGGACAGAAGAGGGCCACCAGTGCGGTGGCCAGGGCGATTCGACGAGCCCGGGTTGGCGTTAGAGGTGGGAGCACGTCCCTCAACCCGTCGGAGTGTTGTATGCCAGGTATTGGGAACAAGCGGCCAACAGCATGCTTCCTGTTCTGTGGACCTACGGGGGTTGGCAAGACTGAGCTCAGCAAAGCCTTGTCCGATGAATACTTCGGCGAGGAGGGCCGGAACATGGTGGGTGCCCTCGGATGGCTTCCTCGCATACGAGCTGGTTAGATACGCCTGGACATGTCCGAGTTTATGGAGCGTCACAGCGTGTCCAAGCTGATAGGCTCGCCTCCGGGGTATGTCGGCTATGACTCCAACTCTGGAGGAGTACTCACGGACCGAGTCCGTAGACAGCCACATAGTCTAGTGTTGATTGACGAAGTGGAGAAGGCCCATCCTGACGTTCTCAATATCCTATTACAAGTGAGTCTTGACATTGGGATTGCCATTTGTATTAAATCGTAGGTGATGGACGATGGTCGCCTTACTGATAGCCATGGTCGACTCGCCGACTTCTCGAATGTTATCTTGGTCATGACCTCCAACGTTGGTAGCAGCATGGAGGATCTCAAACGTCATTTCCGCCCAGAGTTCATCAACAGAATAGACGAGGTGAATATTCTTCCTTGCATTAGCATTCGCGATGGATGTCGTCCTCAGGTCATTGCATTTGACAGTTTGACCGAGGAGGACATCGTCAGGATTGTAGGGTTGTATGTCAGCCGTCTACAAGCTGCCCTCAAGGAGCAGCATAGCATCGACCTCAAGGTTACAGACGGGTAAGCAGTGGATATCAGTAAGCTTCTAGGCAGTCGGCTTCGTCTCTTAGGTTGACAGCAGCACTTGGTAAAGAGGGCTACAGTGCCGAGTTTGGTGCTAGGCATCTGAACCGTGTTATGCAAGCTAGAATTGAGGACCCCATCGCTGAGTTGGTAAGCGTAGAGGCACACGAACGGACGTGTTCGGCCGATGGGCTTATGTGTTGGCCTTCACGAATCGTATCGAACTTGGTGTCAGATATTACGAGAAGAGATACACCGAGGAGAGGAGCTAATTGCCGATTATGACAGCGAGAGGGATATGATTGTGTTCAGGGATGCTAACGGTCGAGTTTTGACAGAGACGAAATGCTCTGATAAAACAGCTACTGATGACTGATACGTTTCTAATTGGCTTAGTTGTTGACTTGTGGAGTACGAGGGGAATGATGCGAGTGCACGTATGAACAGAGACTAAATGTCATGCTCCGTGAAAGCCTCACAACTCACAGTAGGAGGACCACATAAAGCAAAGAGCTCAGTCCGAGTTTTTCAGATGAGGCAGTATTGACAGATTGCTTGATACGACTTATTACGTATGAGTGTACGAAAAAGGTTCCAACTAGTGTCGGTCATGAGTAGTATACGTCCATGAGTCGTTTTCTGTCCCTGTTTATCACACCGAACAAAACAAGTGATATAATTGAACGAAAAAAGCCTTGAAGGGCCACAGATCAACCGTGGAGTAAGAAATCATCATCTAATGACGTATAGGCAAAGATACGAGAGAAAATATAATAATAATACAGAGCTACCTCGTACGCTACCTTCCTCTGAGAAACCGCCGAATATGCAACAAAAATAATGCTGCCGGTGATTCCCGCTTCGGATAAGGAATTATTCCTGGGCAATTAAGGCTGGCCCAATGACCACCTCAAGAATTCGAAGCGTCTCCATTGTCACTTTTTTCGAACTACTGACCGAGACTGATAAAAAATAGTATAAGTAATAATAAATACGATGCCAACCTGAAATATGAATACTGCGTACTACTATAACTTTGGCCGAACTTTGAGAACCTCTCGAGCTGTCGCAAGAGGTAGGCAAGTCATATACCGTCCAACACGCTCAAACCAACTTGATAAAATGAGTGGGCAAGAATACGAGACGACTGCTCAGTATAAGACAGAAAAGTGTTGTCTTCAGGACCAAACCAATGACCACAACCACCACCATTCGTCATTGACTCATGTAATGTAGACGATCGTGCGAAAGCACAAGTCGGAGTATCTGATCAAACGTGCCACAAGTAACGATGATAAAACAGCGCAAATGTTACGTACCTATACGGTCCGTACCAGGGGTTTGCCAGAACCCTCCAGTGAAGTCACTAGGCACAGTAGTAGTGAGACTAGCAGAAGCCACAGTGGAAGCCTCGTCCGCTGTCATGTTGATTGAAAACGGACGGCGAGGAGACCCATCATGAGAACTGTGCTCTAGGACTTGTTCGAGCATACTCCCGCTACATAGATCGACGCTTGGCCTGAGACAATGCCATAGTTGACCATAAGAACCGTCCGGGGTCTTACTGTTCGGCCTGGTTCGCAGTAAGGGTACGGTCTTTGGAACGACGACCACCTCCATGCCTGAAGTATAGATACAGAGTAAACAACAGAGATAGTTCAACTGACTTGTGACAAAATCCTGACTTTTTACTGCGGCTACCCTTATCACAGCCAGGGAACGAACATCGCGGACCTCCACCGTGAGCACTACAGAACCTATTTTGAATCATATCAACACAATGATGGAGCAGACCTTCCCCTTACACTGACTTAGAACTGCCATATACTGACTTGCCACAGCCTGTATGAGCACAGCGTCGACCGCCACCGTGGGAGATACAAAATTCAGTGCCTCCTTGGCGATACTTACGACACCCTTCAACTACACATACATACATTCGTCTCGCCGACACCATAATGAAGATGATGAAAATATACAGCCGAGGCGAATGCCCGAGTACAATAAGTGAACTGGAAGGCAATTGAGAATGGGGGCATCTACGTGAACAGAAGAGTTGCAGAAGGCGCAGTGTCTCCAAAATGTACAAAAGCTGACCTATTTTGTATCTTAATCACTGAGCCACAAGATATGCGGGGCTCAGGCGTACACGAGGTCATCTACAAGCGTTGCTGACGATAATTAAACTTAGAGAAATTGTGGGGACATTCTGCATGGTTTTCCTACACTTCTACCTTGAGTCGTGCGACAAACGAGTGGAAATGCACACTGTGCATCTAATAATGTAGTGAGGAAACTGCCGAGCTGAGCTGACGAAACCGAACATATATTATACCACTGGTCATCCCTAGTATTCTACCAGACTGAATGCTGGGTACATCTCCTGCGACACAAACCACAATATACAGTGTTCGTTCTCATCGAACACTCGTCGAGATGAACGTGGAAGCACGCATGTACAATATTAGCGGAGCGAAACGATTCACGTTTACTATTTTGTTGTTAACTCGGTTTCTGGCGCGACTCTAACAGTTAGAGTTAGAAGACAGTGGACTAAACACCATCGAAAGGCGTCTTGCAATCCTTGGGCTTGACGGTGGATTCGTCTCGTCTTGAGCACAGCGGAGGAGGCTCCTTTGAGGAGCTCTTCAATGCACATCGTCCATCAACACTGTTCATATTATATGAACAGCTGCAAAACCATATGAACCGTCCTGTATCGTCAATTGATCAAAACTGTTGTGCGCATAGCAAGTGGAATATCGGGCGAACATGCTTCGGATAACGTCGCTGAATTATCGGGGGCTGCACTTCCACGGAGACCGGCAGTTGCTGAAGCTACCTATAATCGTAGTCACCATGGAAAATTGTTGTCCGTGCACTCCTGGGATGCGTTCCGAAAGTACCTCGTTATCGGTATGGGTGAAGCCGCTAAGGCTCGGCCCAACCTAAGATGGACTTTTTGACGTCCATCGGTGGAAGATCTGTTTGAGCTGGATCTCCATAAACAGATATGCAACATGAGTCTCTCAATTGGGCTTCAGATGACGTCACCAGAATACCTGTGTCAGTTGAACTGGCTCAGTTCTGTCTCTCTTCTATAGCCCGATCGGCCCGCACGGATTCGGCTACAAAAAGGACATGGGAAGGGCATATGCATGACCTGTGATGAACGTCACAGTGTGGTTCCGTGGTCACAGACCAGAAGTCTGGTGCTGGTATGGTGGTATATCGTAAGGGTGTAGAGATCTATTCCAATTACTGGAAGCTCTCGCCTTACGCTACTATGACGGACTGTGAACTCCTCGGAGTTCTACAGGCAGTTCAATGGCTTACTTCTACGTCAGGTTGAGAGTAAACCTGGGGAATTTTCACGGACTCTCAGGCGGTACTCAAAATCCTGGCGTTGAGATCCACAACAGCTCGGCAGGACGAGGCCAGACAGACTACTCTGCTCTTAGCTGAAATCCCGGACAAGGTCACCTTTCATTGGATAACTGGTCACAACGGCATGCTTGCTGATGAGCTGGCACTGCCAGCCTGGCAGCCAAGGGTGCCTCCATGATGGATGTCTCAGCCGAGAGGGAAATCAGTATGAGGACCCTTCGGCGTTATCAAGCCCAAGCCGGGCGTCTATCACTTTACAAGTCGCTTGCGGTCACTTGCGCCGCAAGTCTTGCGGTAAATGGTGGTCAGAAAAGCGGGCTGCTCTCGGCCCCTGCGTCAACGACTTCCTCTACTGCGTCTCCCATGCGATATTACGGAGCCGCAGAGAAGTTACTCCAGCTGGCAGTGCCGTAGTGTTCGGACGAGCTCCAACCCCTTCCCACCTGCATAGGTGTGGGGTGATCGTCTCTCCAGAGTGTGATTGCGGAGCTCCGATAGGGAATGTCAGACATCTCCTCCGTTCCTGCTCACTCCTAGAGCAAACTAAGGAACGGGTCAAGGGAGGTGCTCCCTATCATTTGTATAAAATGGTTGTCGATTTGAAGCATCGCGAGGCCTTCAATCGACTGTTCTTGGCCCTTATGCAGCATCTAGGGTCGCAGGGATCGTCTGTTACAGACGATCGCTACGATGTGCTACAGTAGCTACATCACATAGGGTACACATGCAGGGTCAGGATATGCCGCAGCTGTAATTGTTTTACGTATCGTAACGATACTATCGTTTACTGTAATTGTTTACTCGCCTGGTGCTGGTTAAGAAGAGGGAGAAGGAAAAACCAGATCAATAATTGGAAGACCCGAGCCGCTCTCAAGACTCGCCAGGGACGAAAGCCACGAGGGAGGAGGGCTCAAGAGCCGATGTCTACGGCCGCAGCCTTAGAGAAGAAGAACGTGATTGTTGTATCATGTATGGCTCGTTATTGAGGATCTTTTCAATTGAAGGATTCCCGTGTTGACCTTGTGAGCAGACAGATCCTCTTTGATGTGGGTAGTCGAAGCTGCTGATGCCGTGTGACTATTAGTCACTGACTAACGAGTACTCTCCAAGCCGTGGAGACCTCTCTTGCCTTTCCTGATCTATGGTCCCCACTAACTGCCCAACAATAGGGATGCGATGAACAGCTCAATAGAGTAGCATGGTTATGCACAACATTATGCGAGGAATGGCAAGGATCACTTCAATCCGTGCCGATTTGCTCCTCGATCTCTTGAATCCTCCGTTGCAATCCCAAAATCTGCTGCTGTAATGAAGTCTTCTCTCCCTGAAGACGTAAATGTGTCCGCGGAGTCGATCATCAGTATCACTTTCAGTGTAGTAATTTGCTGTTGCAATCTCGAATTTTCAGCTTTCTGTTGGCCGAAGTGCCTCTTGACCTCATCCTGATAGAAATATACTGTCGTACTCGCTGTACAGCATAGCAGAACACTTGTATCTTCTGCACATCACCCACGATATTCTTTTCCATGTCTTGTAGTTGACCTTGATAGTGTTGCTCCAAGCTCCCCTGGATCACATTTCACTATCAGGTTGATTCGTGTGCTCCTCACCTTTTCGTTACGAAGAACTTCTATCTCTTGCCTCTGAGCAGCAAGCTCTTCGTTTTGCATGGCGATGTAGGACTCTAACGATGCTAGTTTGCCCTAATTCTTCAAAATGATCGAGGTTTCTCTCGACTACACGCACCTTCAACCCAGACGGGGCAAATGAGGAGAAAGCATCTCGGGACGTTTTCCGAAATCGATCACTTTCACTCTTACCTAAAAACTCGTATGTCACAGATAAGACACTTCACCACTACTCTTTCGCAGCCTTTGTGATATGCCCTCAGTAAAATCAGTGGACATTCTACAAGGCAGAGCTACCAAACCACAGATTTAACCATGAACAAGTTTAATTGCTGCATCAGTCCTATCGATCCATTTAAGTTTTTCTCATTCATTGAGAATCAGGAGAAGCCTCTGAGTTTTCATCATTCAGTAGCAGCTTAACATCATCGAACTATACGTTGCAGATAGAGCACGCTAGTGACAACACACCAGGTGCCCTCGGTAGCAACCGTTTCTATCCCAGTCAGGTGCTAAGCCTTCAAAGAATATCCCCTAGAGAGGGCATCTATGGAGAAGGAATGCTGGAATGAACACAGATTTGTACGGAAAGACTTGAACACACTACGGCTGACGCAGTGCGTCGGAGCCGGACAACACGTTCCGAGTCTATATTGCACTTGTGACAAGAAACGCAATCAACGCAAGTCACTTAGGACGAGCGGATCGTCGAAGTGTGCTTAACCATTTGTGTAAGAAGGAAAGTGTGTAACGCAATACGAAATTGTTGACAGCTATGCTCAAATCGATTAGCTGTAGCGAGACATAGATCGATTGGAATGACGAGCGCGGCTGATCAGCGCAGGATATAGTGAATGAAAATCTGGAAGGTTACCGCTTATCTTTCATAGATTCATCCAAGTGATGGGTAACTGCTGTCCTGGTGGGAGATCTAAAGACGCCGATGAGGACGGTGATAAGGCTGAGGACCGATACAAGACGGAGCCTAACTGTAACTTGTGGGAAATTCTTATAATCCAACGGCCATATACCTTTTGCGTCCCGCTGGTCACCTTTGATCAGCTTTCTCTGCACTTGTGAGTGATTGAGAAGTGTTAAATGGAATTTCCCTTATGACGATACTTATAGGACTCGTGAGTGAAATGAGATTATGCCTGCATTCTGGTCTGCTTCACAAGCTTCTCTTTTTATCTTAGCACACGAGCAAGATGGGTTCTCGAGTTCAAGCTCAAATATATCCTATGGCTCCGTGTCTCAGAGTGAACCTCAACAGCAGCGAATGAGCGGAGCGTATGGAGAAATAATCGCTGACGAGAAAACAGAAATCCCTGCTGAGGAAGAGCCAAGGAGCGAGTCTCTACCGCACCGGACGAGCCCATTCAACAGAAGGCTCACAACACAACTGATCATTCGTGATCTCAACCAGGCTGTCGCAGCGGATTTGAAGAAGAGGTTGAATGAATTGAACCAGTCTTGGCAATCAGCAGAACTTCACGAGGCGGATCGAGAGGAAGATATTTCTTATGAGACAGGTGGAAGGTTCGAAGTAGAGCGTCACAGCGAGCTTACAACGCCCTATCATTTGAATCGTGCGAGTAGCGTATTGGCGCCGCCACGAATATTAGTCCGAGCTCCTACAAAGAAAGCACTCCGAGAAAGCTTCGGGATCACATCCGGCCTGGATGTACACCAGCACGACTCCTACCGCACACCGACCTTCGCTGATGCCCTGCCTAGGATGGACACACGCGATGAAGTGATCTATCAATTCGCTCCACACGTTCACACCCCGAAGTCGATGTTGATCTACGACGCAGCTCGACAGAGCTCGAGAACGCTGCGTCCAATAATGGTCAGGTCTGGGACAGCGAATGAACTGGGGCTCTACCTCGGTAAATATGATGATGAAACTGGACACTACTGTGACGATCTATAACTTGTATCCAGATCCATACTGTTGTTGGATAATTTTATCGGTGTCAGTTTGATGATCGTACAATGCATGATGCTGTTGTTGTGATTGACTTGAAAACCAGGTGTCAAAATATAAGCACTAATATTGATTGTCTTGTGTGTAGTGACTATTGAGATTACCCGAGAAACCCGCAGCCTCAGAGATCTTGAATGCTATCATTTACGATCTATGATAGCAACGGTATAGTAACACAATTTTCGCTGGGGCTACTAGCATCCGGGATTGCAGCACAAACAGTGTATGAGCATAATCACGGATTGATCCAATGAGATACGATACAGTCCTGTTTACTGACTTTAGAGGATGAGATCATAGTTCGAGGGTCTGTCATCGATTTAATCAACGATCCCACCACAGCAACTGAAAATGAGTCTGCATTTAAAGCCTATTTCTTCGAGGCCCTTCGGAACATGTCCTGATCACTCTTCACCTACGGATGATGCTATTGATGAATCTAACATTCTGATGAAGCCGAAGACTGTCTCATAGATGAGCCGCTTCCCCTTTGTTTTGGGATGCGTGTCTCTGTTGCTACTTGCTCAGCCAGCGTCTGTGCTCTCCGTCGTTGCTAGTCTTCAGGTCGAGTCTAAGCTGATGAGATTGAAGTCGAAGTGTTGCGATGATCTGCATGATAAATATTGTTCCGTATATATCCGTGGCCGTCTCGTTCAAGATCTCAGCTGGGCTTGTGCGTTCCTCAATTAGGATCAAACAAACACAGGAGATACTATCCTCCCAAGGTTGTATCAAAATTGACCCCGACTGCACAGAGAAATGGACGAGCGCGAAGACATCAACAAAGATGAGCCTTCCAGGTGTTGCATGAAATTCGGCAAATTGCCTTCTTCTACATCGTATGGCAGGCAGCATAATGAACCCATCCCAACACACACAGGCCGGTCGAGTACTTCCAAACACTGCACAGTTTTGATGATTCTGAGACTACAGGGGAGAACCGAGACTTCCCACAGGAACCCGCAGAGCAAGTACAAGACATCTGCAACAGTGTGATGGTGCCTAATCGTTGGCACGAACACTCAACAGGACGAACAATTTGGCGCACGCCCAAAAAACACAAAAAGAACCTCGTTCGCCCTAAATTCCTCTTAATGCCCAGGTCTCATTTCAATCACAGTTCAAGTCCTGAAATAAGATACAAGTCCGAATTAGGTAACAGAACCACAAAATCTACTTGCCTCCACTAGAGTCATGTGTAACAGACGCTCAGCACTAGTTGGAGTTGAAGTAACTCCACCTATGGGTCTGGGTGGATGCGGTAAGGCGGATCATCAGCGGAGTATATGCTGACGCTGTCGTGTATGATCGCGGTGATGCATGGTATCGAAAGCCTGAATATGTTGCGCTTGACGCCAGGCTGAAAATTCTTTGCGGCCGTCCGGTTGACGAACCTGATCTCTATTAATGGTTCAAGCTCGCCCGTGGAGTCGTCAGGGGAGCAGTCAAGCACGCTGCTCAGTGCAATAACGACGATGTCGACATCAACTCCGATGATGATGATGACGGTAGTGCAGAGCAGGAGTTCGGCCACGGTGACGATTTGAAGCCTAGCCAGAACAGCTCCACTCAAGTTGGAGGCGATCTTTCTTCGCACTGCCCGGGGAAGCGTCAGCGGGTGGATATTACCAGTCAGGATGTGACACTCAAGTCCCGCGCACCGGTGTCCCCTGATGACGAACCTCCTCAGCCTCCTGTACATTCTGATGGTGGTCTATCCTCTTCAATCGTGGACTTGTTTCACAAGACTGCTAACCATCGACCCCAACCATCACCAAGCGCATCGATCGGTTAGGTTGAAGCTGCATCCCAAGGATCGGTGCCTCAGCGGCCGAAGCCAAACTCTCAGTGTTCGGCGGAGGAACCCAATGCATCAACAGGGGAGCTCGATGGATCGCCTGAGTGTAGGCCATCGTCCTCAACCGCGTCGCCTAACTGGTTGGTACATGATACTCAACTCGGCAAGTTCCGTCTCACTGTGTTGGATCGTCACGACTTAGCTTCACCTTGTACCGAAACTTCCGACATGGCTGTTGGTACCTGGATGGCCCTACTGTGTACTAGGTGCTTAGGTTTGCTGCAGTCTCTTCCGATAACTCCAGCATCATAAGAGGTTATGAAAACACAGCTTGAGGGCATCCCGAAGGCTCCTAGCCTCAGCAATGCACCCTCGATCATCCAACCCTTATACGACTATGGAGCTAAGCATTTTGCCCTCGCTGTCAGGAATCACGAGGGACTAGTGCTATATCTCGATAGCGCACTGGGTATGAACGCGATTCCTGGACCTATGCGTGAAGTGACGACGGCTATCTTCGGCAAAGGTACAAAGTGCGTATGTTTGCGCACACAACAGCAGACACCCGGATCTGCAAACTGCGGCCTCTTCACATTGGCGTGGGCGACAGAGTACGCCCTCCAACGAGCGACTGTCGATCCGGAGAAGGCCACCTACGATGAGGAAAAATGCGGGATCATGCGGTTCGTTGTCTGCAGGAGAAGAGACTAGAGCCATTCCCACGAAAACGCGGAAGGCCCGGCAAAAACAACCGCCTTCAAGGCCGGATGGATATCGAGCTGTAAGCTGGAAGTGTCAATCATACAGTTTATTCACAGTTTCGTGTGTGTTATTATGAGTGTGGATGTTTCTGAGCGTGAACGTCTTCTGTTGCGTTTCTCTGCCAATGTTCGTCCAACTCAGTGTTCGTCCATTCGAGATGTTCGTCCATAGGACTTTATCGATTGTGTGGGCGTGCGCCAACATGTTCGTCCCTTTGATTGTTCGTCCATCTGATTCACAACCCAGTGTGATGAGGATTGTGTTAATGGGCGAGCGAGCATAAATTAAGATATTATTGATGATTCATTGTCGTTCATAGTAAGAGCACTGCGACTCATGGGCCATGCACGACTGCCCCCTTGTTAGTTAAAGTTTATTTGCGTCCACTGGCTCATTGGGTTCAAGTGTTACATCAGTGCCTGTATGTGTTCCCCGTACAAAACCCGAAATAACCCGATGATGGCAAACAAGTTACTTGCAAGTTAGTGAAGCCTTGGTGACACAATTTCGAGAACATGACTGATGTTGGCGATGCATGAGTAAGGATGAATGGCTCGGTCTCAGTGTTCTGAAGATCTTGCTATTCAAATCAGTACGATGAGTTCTCCCATATGATGACTAGTGTGAACACAAAACACGAGATACAGAATGTAGGATGATATATGTTACAAAATAAGTAGGGTATTGATCTACAGCTGTACTGCCACACGAGCCGATAATTCGATAACGGCGGTCAGTGACGATGAGCTCTATTATTAGTAGATGCAACAACAGTGTATCAATATTACTGCTCTTCTCATTGCAAGCTGGCAACACCCAAAGGCTTCACAGATCAGCCAGCCTTTCATCTTCTCATAAACACCGTAGTGTGCGAAGAACTCAAGCGGAAAACAGAGACGAGGCCAAATAGTGACACTGCGAGCTGCCTCGCTGTATAGTCACCTCTAAACTGGCCGAAGAACTACAGTCGAGACACGCTTCTGATGATAGGAAACAGAGGACGATGGACTGAAAGTCGAATAAGGAGTCCAGAGCACGACAGTGTTAACTTTAAAAGCGGCAGTTTACCACACCCATAGATTAACCTATGGCTTAGTTTTAGAGATGATACGAAGCAACTCACCATGCATACAAAGACCGTCTTATATTATCTAATGTAGTAGCACATGATGAGACAGATAGCTCACCAGGCAGAGGTGAGGTCACTGCTCATCAGGTGAGGAAACAGATGCAAAGAAAAGAAACCCTGAGAGGTGTGATCATGGCTTTGACGATAATCATGATAGGAATGATGACCATGACCACGACCATCGACGTGCTTGTTGTTGGTGAAAGATCATCATTCACAACCTACATTACAGTGTTAATGCTACTTAGTATACTTGAACAACTTGATGATGATGATGCCGTAGTCACCCCTGACTTAGGCGGGTATGGTGGCAGACGTTTCGACCGTAGAAGCATGACCATACCAAGATTGAGTGCTAGGAGTCTGCGTTGATTCCACCACAAGAGTAATGGTCGGATCTTCAGTAGCCGAGTACATTGACGACGATGAAATTGTTGTCGAGTTCTCTCCAAAGAACAAGTCGCCGCAATATGCTGCCACAATAGCTATAACAAAAAGAGCCGTTGGGCTCGCCATCTGCACACCCTGTACATCTACCGAACCAGCATGAGAAGACGCATGCCCAGACTCGAACGAATACAACAAAGGTGTAGATGAAGCCTCGACAGCTTCTGGAGGGACGTAGTGAATGATGCTGCTAGTTGCTGTCGTTCCCAACCAACCAGATGCGCAAGTAATAGCACCGAAAAAAATCGTCAGTTTCACCAACACCGATAGACTCGACATTACGAACATGTACTAAAACATTAGTAAGGAACTTCAGCCTATTCCAACACAACTCAAAACATGTTCTGATTAGATGAAAACTTTCATGGACCAATTTGGAGTTATGAAAATGATACCAAGTGATAAGCATCATTTCCGTTCGATCATCCGAGAGCGACTTCCCCCCGACACTTTAGGAGGCTCCGTAACGACGATACCCACAAGTTGAGTAGAATGATATCCAAGCGAAGTCGCGCCGGTGGGAAAGACAATCTGAGGGCTTCCATGCCGGAATGTATATCCTAATGAACCTACTTGAAATGTGGATGAGGAGACGTGCCGAAGGAATCATCTGTTTACGGCTGGCACGAGATCGTAGGACGTCGTCTCCTATCACTTACCTTTCTGGTTGATCGGCTTGAGCTTTCCCCGATTTGCAACTTATCGTCGTGGTTGGGGGCACTGTCTGTGAGCGACAAACACAGAACGGTCATCAGCCACGCAGGCAGGTCCAGGGTTGGCTTCTCCTCAATTTCGCAGGCGTCGTCGATGCTTGACTCGGAAGTAACCTGATTATCGATTCAACGGCGAACAAACGAACCCTCGAGAAGCTCTAGGACGCAACTCTGCGCACAAAGGAAGTCATGGTGACACCGTCGCAACAGTTGGGTGTCTCGACGACTATGCGGTCAATGCGATTCACCCAATGCGCAGCAGCTTTCAGAAGTCCGAAAAGTCAGCTAAACTCACTAGAGCGAGGAGCTCTCGGCTAGGTTTCGCCGATTGGGTTGTAGTGAAGCTAAGAAGGAAAGCATCTAGCCTCGCGAGACAGGGGGAGCGCATTCCGAGACAATACAGTCTCAAACATTTACTCGTCGTCCTCAACAAAGTCGAGAATCTATGCTAGACTGATACGGTTGATGTCTACAGGCGTGTCTCCAGGGCAGTGGCGTTGACAGGGGTTGCAAATGACAAGAATAAAAATGCGCAAAAAGGAAACTTATGAACGAGTTAAAGCAAGAGAGCAAGATTAGGTAAGTCATCGCACATCACTTTACCAAATCGATCGAGTGATCGATATCACTGAGTGGGCCTCGCGCGAGCCCAATCTCAAACCTCCTCAAGAAACCTTGCTGGTAATAACAACTTCTGACCACCTGCATAGCTGACACTTTACCGATGTTGCTGCACCCTGTGGATGACACTATTACGAGTTGTTCTCTTTCAGGAAGCACCCCTGAAGCATCGTAATTATGGTGTCCAAGAAGCAGGTATGTCGCCACCACCAACGGTGTGGTTTTAACTACTGCAATATTATCCTTTCCCCTTTTCAGACTAAGGCCCATGAGTCCGTTAACGCCGGCTTGCAGCTTGTTCTCAAATCTGGCAAGTACACAATTGGCTGGAGGTCTACCATGAAGGTGCGACGATCTACAGTGATCAATCAATTTCCCTTTACTCGTGTTTTTCTCTATAGGCGATCCGCTCCGGCAGCGCCAAGCTCGTCCTCGTCTCGAACAACTGCCCTGCTCTTCGTCGTTCCGAGATCGAGTACTACGCCATGCTCTCCAAGACTGGTGTCCATCACTACGTCGGTGACAACAACGCCCTCGGTACCGCCTGCCGTAGGTTCTACCGCGTCTCCTGCATGGCCGTCCTCGATGCTGGTGACTCTGATATTCTCACCGCTCTTGAGTAAAGGAGGCCTCGAGGGATGCTACTCTTAGCGGAGTTTCTTCGGGATCATCCTTACACGGTTTTGTGCACAGTTTGTTGTCAATTTCACCCGTAGGATGCATATCGTGACAATCCTCGAGATTGTATATGCGATTCCCGCTGATATGGGCTACTCTCGATTCTTTGTCCATCGCCGTTTTCACTGAGAACGTGAAAGGGTCGGCTTCGTCGTATAACAAATTCGCTTCGTACGTCCCTGCTGAGCAGAGGTACCCGGAAGCAACGAGTGATGGAGTAAGTAGGGCGATAAGACAGTGTAAGAGACGCTTATCGTCAGCTTCCTATCAAAGTGCCTCTGTCGAGACAAGTTTCTCATGCGGGGTCACTCTGTTACGGTAATCACTCCATGGACATTTCTGGCCAGACTTCTATCGCGCTCTCGGAATTCAAAGTACGACTCTGCTGGCTCTATAGAATCGGAATTCGTCCGATTCAGGTCGTCTACAAGAAGCCGGATCCTTTCAGCTCTAATGGGGTAGTGTACATCGTAATTGTGTCTAGTGAAGTTCGTGATGTTATAGGCGAACTCGATTCAAGTCAACTCTGTTGGTGGTCGGATAGAAACTACAGCAGTTGTTACCGACCTTGAGGAAGGTCGACAGGCGTTCGGTACAAAACTTTACTACAGGGTTCCCGTGGTAGATCCTAGGAAGCTGTCCTATGTGCTGGAGCCTTTGATTGACGTTGCGAATACGCAGTATTTCGGCCCTATCCAGATCGGGACACCTCCGCAAACTGCAACGGTCATTTTCGATACCGGAAGTGCTGATATGTGGGTACCAAACTCGAGGTGGGGTTCGAATGCTCGTTTTTTGGAGAGCTCACCGGTGGTCAGATTCCATCCATCGAATTCTACTACATTCGTGCCCAGTGCAAGTAACAGCTTTCGACGGCTGACATATGGTGTGGGTTCGGTGCAAGGTCGTATGGGTAGCATAATCGGGATAACATTATTTGCGACCGATTCACGTTTCCCAGGGTCGGATCGTGTATGTTTTGGAGCTGTCAAGAACGATCCCAGTAGTGACATGGTGTCACCCCCTCCAAGGAATCTGCCCCTTTGTATTCCGCATCAGAATCTGTATGGCGAGCGCGTGTGAGTAGCTGGACTGTGGCCTTCCTCAGGGTAGTCTCGGAGACTAGTAAAGATCTCGAAGGAGGTTTATACGATGGCGTAATGGGGTAGTACTGCGGCCCGCTCTTACTCCGTCCACCAACTTCTCGGTGCCAGATTAGGTTTCTCTGCTCTGAGTACTACTGGGACGACAGCTCTGGAAAATATCATCAGTCGCCTTGCAGAACCAGTAAATACATCAGGGCACTGGGGGCTCACTGTCCCACCAGGTCCTAGCGTTTTCCTTGATTGAGGACCCTATCGCTGCAGCGACGATGGGCAGTTCGATCACTTTCGGCGGCTTAGATGGAGCCATGTGTGTAGCAGCAGGGTGACACGGTTGGCAGCATATCGTCAACAGGTATCGTCCTGATACTCTCACGTGGACCCCTCTGGTTGGCCACGTTTACTGGGCTATGGAGACCGTGTTGGAGGTACTAGAAGAAAAAACACACGAAAAAGGTAGCGGCCAAGAATTACGGACTCGAAAAATAGAGAAACGATGAAGAATAGAGACTTTTGTCGAATTTGTGTAGATGGACTTGCCGGGGACGGCGGTGGTGCTGTGAGCGAAGATGGAAAGAATGATGCTAACGATGATATTGGGGCATTTCCAAGGCAGTTGTTCATCCAGAGACAGGTGACGCCCCTCCCCCCCATAGGTGTCGGTCATGTGCATTGGTTCTGCAGGCAGTAGTGCTGGACTCGGGCACGTCGTATCTGCTGGTGCCAAGGCCTGACTTTGTGAAATTCCTGTCGGCGCTGCTTCCCTCTGATAAACTGGCTGAATGCTCAGCTCTGAAGCCTAGCAACCTACTGGTACTGCGACCTCGGATGCTACCGAGGACATCACCTCTCAGATATGCCCATGCCAGCTGCAGAGGTATGCGCGGAAGATCAATGTACGTGTTGTGTGTATTATCGATTCTCACTGCCCTCGAACACAGGTTTTGGTCGCTAACAGGCAGTTTCCGATATTCCCGGCTGATTACTTCACCGGACCGGCACTGTCTGGTGGGCAATGTGTCCTGGAGGTGTGTTGTTATGTTTCTAGCACATGCATGATGATTGGTGATGTTAGGTTCAGATGGGCCACGACACGTCTCCATGGGTATTTGGTGACACGTTTATGAAGAAGTTCTACACTGTATTCGATGTTGGCCATTCTCGCATAGGGTGAGATGGAGTCTATTGGAAACACCAAACCGCTACCTCACAGTTTGGCCGACCGTCTGCATGTTCCGGAGCACTCAGCCTCACGTATGGTCGTCAACTCGCCTCTTTTACCCCAGGAGCAAGACGCTCACGGTTTCCGAGAGACCGAACTCGGAGCCCTTGTGGCAGTAGCCCTGGTAGGAACTGCTCGTCAATAGCCTGCTCGTTACCTTCTGAGTCGCTCAGGTGACGCTACTGTGTTTTATGGCGGCCACTTCTACGTCGGTGAGAAGGGCTTTGTCCTGGGTGTATCGCCGAGAGCCCTCCCCGGCCCGGCGTGGACCAACTGCTGGGGGCTGCTGGCCTTTCTCTACTCCCAAGCGACGATCGGATTCGAGGCGGAGTCGTGTGCAGGGAAGCGCCCCACTCAGGTGCCGCATTTCGGAGCCTTTCATGCGATAGGGGAATCTTTGAAAGGTTCCATCCTGAGTCCTATGATGTTGCTCGAATGCCGAACCTGACAACCCCACTTATCACTCGGGAACAGCATCGTGCTCACCGTGGATATCGCGCGCCCCAGAGGGGTCATGGTATGCGTCGCAGATCGACTGTTATCTGACTGTATTTTAGGGGAGCCGGCTCGTCCTACTCCTACTACTACTACCACATTGCCTCCTGCTACTACGTACTACTTCTACTATCAAGTCTAGCTACATTGATTTATCTCCTCGTCGAAGCGAGTATTCGATAGTTTTATGTTTTCTCCCTCATTCGTCCACAACTGCTCTCATTGTGTGTACTCAGCCTCGTGATTGACTTATTGTTGATCGAATCGCTCGGAAACTGTACTATTAACGATCTCTCGAGATGCTTTTGACATGTCACATGGGCCACCTTTCAGTGATAGTTTCAGGTCTTGTAATATCTTTGGCTTGGAGCTGTGGTGCGTGGTCGAGACATTTCTTCTCGCTAGCTTTTAGCATACTTGACTTGTGGTATGTGCTGGAAGTGCGTCCGCTACTACTACCAAAATAAGACTGAAATAAGCACACAATCGCTCCGCCAAAGTGAGCGATTACCCTCCCATCAGTCATCTTTCTATAGTCGGTCTGTTGAGCTGGATCGACTTCAATAGTTTCCGTTGTACTCTCTCTTGCTGCTAGGAGAAGTGTAGGGCTGATTATTCTCTGGGAATGATTCCCATACTGTTGGCTCAATGTGAGACTTACAGATTCATGCTTGAGGACAAAGCTGAGTCATATCAATCTGTGCCTTATGAGACTCCACATTCCTTCTCATAGTTGCCGATGGAAATATATCGCTATTGGGCGTGAAGTCCTACATAACGCCCTTTACATCGTTCTGGCAAAACCTTCGCATTCGGTCACATTATGATAAAACTCATATTCTAGTCACAGGTTGTGCGGAATCTTGTTCATTGGTAGCGTTTTACGTGGAGTACGCGAGCTGATCGATATTAGTAGAGCAGAAAGGCTCCGGAATGAGGGAGACTTCGGGGATCTATTCCTTTGGTAGCATATCGATGTGATTGGACTTTGATAGCAAGTTGAAAGCATTTTCTGGTGACGAACTCATCATCAAGCGCAGATGTAAGTGTTGGGTTTCTCGCCACGGGTGAATGGCTTGACCAAGAGGACGTAACAGAATGGAAAGTTCCCGCTAGAGACAGCTTGAGAGCTTTGTGCTGAATTTGCGCTTGCGTGCACGATTATTGTGTGCTGCTCCACTAGTTGTTGTCCCTTATTTTCAGCGACGTTTTCTTCGCTTTTGGTTTGTATCGATTGTGATTATGCCAAACTACATGCCTGATTCTATTAATAGTACTGTTGAGAGTGCCACTCTGAAGACTCAGAAGATGGTTGATGATTTCAAGAAGACGGATACTGGGAAGAAAGTAAGCCGCTCAACTAGTGCGGCTTTGGGAAGTGTCTACTCTTTCGTCGACTCTCTCTTGAGTAGAGGTGAGGAGTTGGTTGATCGTTTACTCCCTGAGCCTCAGTCATCTGCTGAAGCCTCTACTGCAAGTCCTCATAGCTCACATGATGCTGATGGGGTGAGCCCTTTCAGTCGGGCTCTATCTCTGGGCTCGACCGTCTGCTCTCGAGTTCATGCTCGTGCTACTAACAAGGTCTATGCGTTTGGTAGCAATGTGAGTGTGTCTTGCGAGAAGGTTTATGCTAACGTGGTGGATTATTTCGAGACTTACTTGAGGTCTTTCCAAACTATCTTATCCTATGTGAAAGACACTTTTCCCGCGCTGCAGATTGCTGAAGAGGATTTTCTAGCTATTCGCAACAAGGCCACTGAGTGGTGGGCTGCTTTTGTCGAGCGTGTCCAGAAGGTTTTTTATGAGAATAAGGAGGCCGCTCAGACCTCTATGAAAAAAGGCGAAGATGCTGTTCATCAGTACACTACGCAGGCCAAGGAGACTGCTGCTAAGTACTCTGCTGATGTGAAGGAAAGAGCCACCAAGGCTAGAGAGACTGCGACCATGTATGCCACTGACGCTAAGGACACTGCTAGCAAGTATGTTGCCGGTGCTAGGGAGGCTGCTGAGAAGTACGCTGCTGATGCTAAGGATACTGCCAGCAAGTATGCTGTTGATGCTAAGGAGACTGCTGGTAAATACGCCGCTGACGCCAAGGCGACTGCCGACAAATACTATCAAACTGCTACTGATAAGGTGAATGCTACTAGTAAGTGAATGTCGCAGGTTTCATCATAAAACAAATATTATTTTGGTGGGGTTCGTGGAACCCACCTGATTTGTAGCAGCCACTTGTGCTGCACGGTACGGTTGAGTCTCATGAGTGGACTTACGTTACCTATATCGTCAGTTATATTTTCTCGTAGCGTTTTGGGTGTTGTGCTTGTTCCGGACGATAACAGGGTAGATCATCATCTGGATTATTGAACCTTATGGGTAGTGCTGAGTTATAAGTGAAGACTGAAGGTTCTAGTAGGGGGAAACAGGCGATACAGTGTATGGTAGGAATCCATCATAAACCAGTATTATCAAAAGCCTGATTTATCTATTCACCTACTATGCACTGTGGTAGTCGATTGTTTGCTGAGGCTTATCGATGACATTATCGTCGCTTAGTAATTCGTTCAAGTCAAATGAGAAAAGGTCATGTTTCTGTAGCCTCAGTTGGATTGGGCAAGGTCCGGCAGAGAAGACTATATCCGACTGTATTATCGGTTTGTTGACTATATCTCGATGATGTTCTCGCTTGACCTGAGGTCACGGAATTTCGTACAACTCAAAACCAATAGCATACCTGAGAAGTACTGAGCGGCAATCTTCCTCTCCACAACATTCGGCTGCTGCTAGTAGTATTATCCGGACCGTCTGTTCAAGTCGGATTAGCGCCTTCTCTAGGACGGTTGTATTAATAAGCCCGGCAGTTTGACCTCCCTGTCCCCCCACGTTCTGGTCTTAGTATGGCAGAACTACGATGGGGCCAAGTTCAGTGACTACTCAACACATGCAGAAAATATCAACTTAGAAACAAATACGTAACACCAGAGAAGCATGGTAGACGTCACCGATGGCCTCGATTACTCCTCCTGTGAGGATTTCGCTTCCTATTGAAAGACTGCGTTCGCCGATACAGCGAGTCTTCCATTCTCAGTCTAGTAAGTTCTTCCTCGCGAGCTGCCCAGAACTGATCCGAGGGTCGGTAATTGGGCTCAGCCGCTGCCTGAAGTAGCATGTCGAATCGCCAGGCCGACTTCTAGCTCACCTCAGCTACGTTTCCCTCAGGGACGTCTCCACCCGTCTTCTCTATGTTACTGGAACCTTCGGGCATCCACGAGGCGCTCTTGGTCCCCAAGTACTCATTATCCCCTAGCATGACCAAATCTACAGTAGGCTCCTGCGCCTTGTCTTGCCCTCCTACCATCATCAACTACACCGCTAGCATCGTCCTCGGGTACTCGAATCCCATCGTAGCCGTAAGCTGCCTTCAGTGCAGCCTCTCGAAGGGCCTCACCAGCATCCTCTCCTTCCCCATGCTCAATACCCGTAGTTGTCCATTGCCCCGACAGGACTCTCCTCTCCATATCCTGTTGGAAGAGCCTTATACGACGACGCTTCGACAGCATGGATATTTGCCAGAACATCCTCATAATCTGACACAAGTGGCAGATCGAAGCACCCCCTCGGGGATAGGTTTCCTGGGACGCCTATTCCCTTGAAACTGAGGTGAGTTAACGAACAAGTCGGGGAAGGCCTATCACCGGCAGACCGTCATGATAGCATTCCTCTCTGCTCAGTGTTGGAGGAATATTGGTTGCTTTCCTCAGCTGAGCTCAGGTGTTTCTCCAGTCATTCGAGGAGTTTATACACGAATTCAGGTAGTAGTTTCCAGAAACCAACGAGACTTTCCGCCATATTGTCACCAACACATGTAGTTGACTATGTGCTTGTTTGTCCAACACTGCCTCCGCCCGGTTCCACCTGTCTGATGTTCCCAGTATTCGGCCGAGCATCAAAGGCCTCTAGTTCCCGCAGTGATAGTAGAAATTCCTCGTGAAACTTCACCACAGTAGGATGGACGAACCCGCACTGTTTCATCTCCTCCAAAACCGAATGGGCCATATCCAAACCTACCAAAAAACGTCACCGCGCCACGAAATTCAACACACCAGCCTACCCGGATGCTTAGGGCACATGATGTACCCAAACATCATGAGGGAAAAGGTAACCTCATCGGCCGGGATGTCGTGCTGCTGGAAATGGTCCATCGCGGCTTGCCATCGATGCCAGTCCTTCTTGCGGCAGTACAATGCCAACAGCTTATGAGCCTTGCTCCTGGCCTTCACCACTTTCACACCCTCAGATGGCAGGTACCTGGAAAATACGAAATTCGTTGTAATCAGCAAAAGGGCGTCTTATTTTACTCTTCAATTAGTTGTGAATGTTGTTCTGGACTGAGCTTCCAGGCCTCAGGTTTGTTCCTCGGGCCAGGAATATCTCTGGGAGGGACTACGGAACCCCAAGGGAGCACTTCGCCAGGCTGCAGTACTCTCGTGCTGTGGACCTGCAGAGGTCCCAGGTTCGATCCCGGGAGGCGGCTCTTTCCCACCTACATCAGCAATCATTTTCTTAGGAGTATGCCTAACATCCCGTCGTGTATCGGCCGAGACCTTCCTACTATGCCGGGCCCTCACAATAGAATAGGCAGTGGGGCTTGGTCGTGATGGGCAGGCTCGGGGCTGAGACTTGGTCTAGACAGCCGCATTAAGAGCGCTCAGTGTGGCTCACCCGAGAGAGGGCAGATCGAGTCGATACCACACCAGAGTGAATCGCTAGCTGATGCATGGAAGCCGCTAGATAACAGCATCGCGACAACATTTGCATGGAGGAGGAAGTAACCCGTCAACTAGCGTCACGATGTCACTAACAAACTCAATACATGAAGAATTAGAAAAAGGAGCGCAAGCTCCAGTGCGGGATGAATAGTAGAGTACGACGAGGTTTGAAGATTCAATCGACGCTATGATGAAGCCGTGCAAAGTAAGTGCATGTGAGAACCTCAAGAGGCCGTTGGTTCATTTAGCTCCACACAACTTCCAACATCACGGCATTCAGGTTCAACCTTCGAGAGGTAACAGCGCGGCGCCGGCCAATTGTGTATCTAGATAGGACGAATACAACGTGATGACAACGGCGGTACCCGAGAACCCACAAAAATGCCCTTCCAAACTCGAACTCCCACGAAGCGCTCGGTCTTTATCCGAGCAAACAACGTGATGATATACCACACCATCGCCTCTACAATACCTATACGATGCACGATTAACAACAAAGAGGGAATATGATTCCAAAGCCGACCTATGATGCCACCCATGAAGACTTGTTCAGCAGTATGATCTCGTATGATTACTCTAGATAGGGGCACTGGTAGCAGTACCAGCGACCAGAAGGAAATGACTACGGCCAAGTGGTCTGAGGCGAAACGAAGTCATCAGAGTGCGACACGCAGGCAACAACACCACCTTGGGAGATGCTCTGGCTGGTAGCAAGGAAATGACCATCGCGTACGAAGGAGCGGATCTTCTCCAGCCACGACCTGGTCATCTGAAGTCAGTGTTGGAAAATATGCCCATCGTCAACCCCATGTGTCGGTGACAATATGAAAATTCAGGGCAGTTTTCGGGGAAGTTTTGTTGCTTCCTGTAGATTTCTACGCGATTTCATATATGAACTCCTATAATTAGTGAGGAAACTTCTAGGGTCCGCCCGAAACCACATATGGTCGCGAATGAGAGGCTGCGGAAGTCTTACACTGTACCCCTGCTCTGGGCAGTATGCACGATAGATGTGATCAAGCATTATAGTTAGCCATATTCCAACTGCTCTCACTGCATGGCTCGAAGGCATGCCGCATGTGATGTTGCAGCTCCCCACAGGCCGCGGTTGGCGAACCTGCATCATCATCAGTCTATCATCTTACCGCAGGTCCGACTCGGTTACAACACGTTTCCAGCCCAGCTCGCTCAATATGAAAATGACTATGATGAAGAATACAAGACTGTATTCGCGAGACCCTCTGCGCCACCTGAAGAGATCGACTCGCGGACTAGTGAGAACTCGAGTGGAAAGATATGCACATGGCCAACTGCATGTGGTTCTGAGAAAATTTGGGGAATTCTTGTTAGTCTCTGTACACTTCTACCCGAATTTATATATAAACTCCTATAATTAGTGAGGAAAGTCCTGAGCTCAGCTGAGAAAACCAAACATAAATCCTATCGTCGGAGAAGCCCCGTCCTACAGCATGATGAGAATCAATAGCACCTCCACTACGTATTCCAAGTACCCGTATACGATGGAGATACCCTCGAAAAAATTCGGGTTAAAAGGAGCAGTTATGTCGCCAACAAGGTGATGACCTAACACACCCCAGTACGATGACCGGAGGAAGAATCGATCAGTACCGAAGGGGCATACGCTGTCCGAGTTGACATACCAGATGGGGTGACACGCCGATGACATAAGATGAATGTGATATGGTCTGTAGCAATCAGAAGGCTTCGCTGGTGCAGTACAGACCAACTAGCAATAGGAGTTGTGATGGTAGTACTCTCATTTCAAGAATGGCTTGCGCGTGCGTGCAGAGGCAGTTGCCCAGCGCGATTCGGATCTCCCATGGCCTCACTCACTTACTAGACTACCATCACTACTGATTCAGTACTACCGTGTCACCACTAAGCAGTTGCGGAACGGAGAAAAACACTTTCACCACCGATCAACTCCCAGTCCAACTACACCTCCCACAGTCTCATCAATTTTTCGCCAATTTTGATACCAACACAATACCGAAGTAGATCCAATAATCAATACGCAGATTATATCACAAGTATATCTGCTACAGATTAGCTACCACAGTCGCGGCATATAGCAGGGGAAGATAACTGCAGTGCGGTAGGCTCAAGAGTAGTATTAACTTCTACAATATATCTTTTAAAAGTGTCATAAATACAACGTATACGTCCACTACACTAAACCTGAAATTTTCGATGCTGGACTTGATGGGTCCACTCCAGGATCTCCCGCGGGCTCCAGAGGTACTGCCTGCTGCAGCTGTCGAGGAGTGTGGACGCCCGTGCTTGGTGGCCTCACGTCGGATCCATCAGCAGTGATGTCACTATTTTTCAAGGGGACAAAGCACCGAGGTGCTGGCCAGTTATGAATCTGAGAGAAATCCAATGAGAAAAAAGGACAAGTCGACAAGGGGGACTCACTAAGCAGCCCCTCAGCCACCGTCGGCCCGTATAGTTCTCCGTCTTAACACGCAATAGGAGTGTGAGCAAGAACCAAATTATTCCCTCAACTACACCTGAGAGAAATCACACTATATGCAAGCTCAAGGTCCTTTCCGTAGATCGAGAAATTGATATAGTTTTCAGTTCCGTAGATTAGTATTAATATGGCATATAATGGTGGGTAAATACCCAATACATATTGACAACTAGATACTCAGAAATGATGATGTGATAGCCTCGCAAAATAATAAAGAACTATTCCCCTAGTTATGATGACATAACGCACGCTGAAAGATCCACATCCAATGATGGTATTACCAATGATGCCAGCCACAAAGACTTGCTGGCTCGTATGGTCCTTGAGGATTATACGAGATAGCGGTACGGGAAGCAGTGCCAGGGACCAGAACCCCGCTGCTGCAACAAAGTGATCTGAATCACCAACATGCCCAAGATGCGCCGCCCAGATATGACCTTCAGAAATGACCGAGGCCGTTGGCAGTAGGTGCCCAGCATGCAGGAAGGCTCTGAATCGATCTACAAACGAGGTGAGGCCACCCTGACAGACCGAGCGAACGTCGCACAGGAGCTGACACGGTCACTACTCACACTATAGCCTTGGGGTGTTTGACTCACCCTATAAGAGAAATCAAGTGCGAGTATCGTCCATAGTGCTGTTGTTATAACAGCATGGGAAGATGGCATACCACACGAAGTGCAACACGATCCGACCGGCCTGGCCTGATCCGCCTGTGATACACCACCTACACACTCCAGCGCGTCTCCTATCGAAAACTCTCACAATGTGTTTCCATCCATATTCGTTGCTCGCTACCACGATTATGCCAAATATGATGATACTGTACTCGTGAAGACCTCTACGCCAACTGCAGGGTCAATACAGTACCACCAAAGCCGGGTCTAGGAGCTCACATTGTAATAAGGATGAAGAAAATGCCAGCAGCATAAGGAACATAGCCGAACATCACCGACAGACCCTCCAGAAAACCTGCGTTGTACGGCAACGTTACATCCCCTGCTAAATGCGTGCCTAGAAAGCACAAGAGCGTTGGAGCAGGTGGGAAGTGGGAGCACTGCTCACCATAGGGGCACTCACTGTTACTGTTGACATACCATTTTGGCAGGCAGACATTTGTCATCGATAAAGTAAAGGCCTTCAGGACAGAGATAGCTCAGCCGGCTAGCCTCTTGCAGTACATTCGAAATAGCCGTAAATTGACATCCCACCCCGTCAGTGTAACGCAAATCCAATACTCCTCTATACAAGGAGAAACTAGTTTACGTCAAGTTAACGTTATGGCCATCATCTGGCTCTGATAATACACGAGGAAGGGAAGTCATCACTTGAAGTCCCTCTGAAAGTTGTAGCCGTCGTCATCGCCTTCCATCGCGGTGTCGGAAGCCTGGATATTCCATCACAACTCCAGCACACCCTCCTGAGCTCACCTCCATCTGTTGCGTTCGTTGTCTCCTCTCCTTCTTCCCTTGGTTACGTTTTGCCTCCTTAGTCTTCTTCTTGATATCCCGATTCACACGCGGGTTCAATCCCGTGAATATACGTTTTTCCTTCGTCTTACCAGAAGCCTTCTTCTCCTCAACAGCCTCGTCAATGAGAATCTACCAACAACAACAATACCATTCCCCTTACCCCTAAATCTACTCACCGGCACTTCCTCCTCCTCCTCCTGGTCGTCATCATCAACTTCATCTACCTCCCCTTCCTCGCCGCTTTCCATCTCCATATCGACGCCCATGTCAGCACTCTGAGCCGCGTTATGAGCCGACCCGCTGAACTCCACCCCAGCTGCCGCTTCCGCGTTAGTATCCGCCTGAAACGTCAAATCACCCGTCCTATTGATGAAGTGTGGACTTTTCACCCTTACCTGGCTGAAGAGTGCGTCAATGTCAAACTCGGGGCTGGCAGCAGCGACCACTTTAGCGAAATTCTTGCCCTTATCAGCTGCAGGAGGCATGCAGAAGAATCTGATTAAAAAACAGTAATTCCCTCTACCTCGCGCGCCCTTACCGCAGCCTGCCAGCTGTCCACTCTCTAAGAACGTCCTTGGCTCCCTGCCGGAAGTCCGGTGCGCCCCCACGACGGAGTTTACCCCGACTCCGACACACATGACCAACCAGCTCATTCACCGACTCGAATGCAGGCATCTACCAAAACCATCCGAAAATGCATATGCTGATATAATCACACTCGCGTGATGGGTTACATACCACAACAATCTCAACCAACAATTGTTAATATGGTATGCCTCCATATCAGCACTACCCCTCCAGGCTCACCTTGAAATGCTTCAACACGGCGTTGCGCGGTGTACGTTTGACCAACGCCTCAACGACTGGCATCGGGTCCTCGAGGGCGTCCACATTCACCGACTGTCGAATTACCTAAAACAAATCCACATTAGCACCACCGTAGAAGAAATACTCTTCTTACCAAACTAGAAGTGTTGCTGGCCGACTCCTCAGTGCCAGAGAAAATTACACCGGGGCAATCTAGTAAGCTCACCTAAAGGGAAGGGTACTCCTACCAGCAACAATAGTGATCATGCTCACAGTCTTATCTATCTGGACCTCCTGCATCTGCTTAGTAACCCCAGCACGATTGCCAGTCATAAGGTGCACACCCTTGCCTCTCTTCATAGAGTTGATAACAGAGGACTTACCAACGTTGGGGTAGCCAACAATACCAACGTTGATGCGACCAGTACCAACACTCCTGATGCAACACATACAATGCCACATGCTGAGGACAACACTACCTTGCATAGTTCTTCAAGAGCTGCAACAGGGCGTCGCTGCCAATGACGCCATAGCTAGATTTCAATAGCCCCTCAGAAGCCGTCTCAGCCGCGATAGCCCTGCCAGTTTGACCTGTGTTGAAAACCATAACACACCACTGAGCAGTACCCTCCCCCCTACGGTCCCCAGAGCTCCTAGCGGCCTTGAACGCAATAGTAGGGAAGTCCTTACGAAGGTAAGCCAACCAAGCTTGGACAGCCTCCTTAGGTACGAGATCTAAAACCAACAGTAGCCCTACTACTACTATGCCGATTCCACACCGGCTGATTACCAATCTTATTAAGCAAAAGGATGACCTTCTTGCCGTTTGAAAGTATCTCCTCCTCGAGGCTCTTGCATCGGCAACTCAGAGGGTCTCGAGCATCCAAAACCTTTAACACATCACTCGATGCAGACCTCCAAGTCGTCGTATGAGCAGCAGCAGGCTACCTCTACTACGACGTCAGCCATGCCCATAACCTTCCTCAGCTCCCTATAATAGGCCCTCCTAGTGTTCTGTGCCTGCACCACCAAGTCATATCACCTCGCCTCGCCTTCCCCCTACCTCCTTGGAACCGCTCCCAAGATGAGTCACGCTGTGCATGTCCCTCACAGAAGTAGACGAGCCAATGAGCGCATCAGCCGATCGATCATAGAGCCTAACGAAGGAGAACACACATCACAACCCCTACCGTTCCATCCTCCAAAATACCTCGTCCTTCGCTCCGCCTCCGATTTCAACTCTGCCAGGGACTTCACCACCTTGTCCTGATTCTTCCTAGACACCACTGGCTCGACTGGCAAGCCCTATTCCAATGACGGCTCACTCGACAGGCTCATCAGTAACAGTGCCCTACCTTCTTGCGGAGTTCCCTCTCCCGCTTAATATGAGCCTCCTTCTCTTGCTTCCTCTTCTCCATGTCATTCAGTACCTACCCCAACGATTTAACCCGTGTTAAAACATCCCAACCTGACCTACCTCCTGTTTAAAAGGCCAGCTGTTCGGTATCCCCGGATCTCTTCTCTTTTTCGATACCACAACTCCGACTTTCTTTGCCACCCTAGCCTGCTTCTTCACCTTCCGATTATGCTCTTTCACCTACGTCGACGTGGCAAACAACAGAGCACCGACGCAAGTGAGCTCCACCTTTTTCTGGATATTATATTTCCTGTTCAGAGTTTGTCTTCTAGAAGGCTTCTTGATCTTCATAGTGAAGGAGTAGCAGAGGCAACAACAGCACAAGAGAGGCTATTCAAAAAAGTATAACGATCAACCCCAACGCGAACCAACTAGCAGTATACGTGGGAGAAACTTTACTCGATATAAGGACAGTGCCGATAGAGCCGATAGAATACGTCTGGCCGGGGATGAGCTCAGATGCTTCTGGTCACCACATTATTTTCTACGAGGCTTCTTCTTATTAGCAGTCTTCTTCTTGCCCTTCTTCTCGTTAGGCTTTGAGATCTTCCGAGGCGCCTCAGCCGCAACAGCCACACGCTTCTTCTCACGTCTCTGCGACAGCACTTGCAATGCAACAACCCTAGATCCCCGGTTCAAGTCCTACCTCCTCCAATTTTCCCACAGGGACTTCCGACAGCTTCATCTTGCCAACGTCTTCTTCTTCTTCTTCCTCCTCCTCCTCCTCCTCCTCCTCCTCCTCCTCCTCTTCAGCCACCTCAAAGCGTACCCGTTTGACGCCCTTCTTTCCAGATTTCTCTTCTGCCACAGGTTTCGGCGCCTCAGCCGCCCATACGGGGAGCATGATCGAGTCTGTACTCTGGACGCCGACACTAAGGATCTTACGTTTCACTGACAACATGTCGCTCGACAAGGCCTCAAGGACGACTCTAGCGTTCTCGACGAGATCCCTGAGAAAGATACACTTCCTGCCTAGAATGGAAGATTCAAAACAAGCCCACTCCTTAGCCATGGACGTGTCACCAATACGGACGCTGATGCTAGCTCCAGTACTCTTACGATAACGGGTACCTCAGAAACGAAGAATGGATCACTCGCGGTAACCTGATTAGACTTAATACTGTTGAGCGCCTTCTCAATTTGCTTGGTAGGATCCACGTCGCTAGAAGTAGGCCACTTGACGGGAACCCTAAAGACAGCGGGGAGTAACAGCACTCCTAGAATTTCCTCGAATTACGGTATCTTTTGCTTTTTGTGATGGAAGAAGTACTTGCCAAGGAGATTGGGGAGCATATCGGACACGGAGGAATCGCAGAGAAAGACGTCGTGAGCGTTGGCCAGATCCCGGAGGAGCTCAAAACGAGCCGCGTACCTACACCAAGTGATAGAACATATTTTGGGTTTCCTCAGCTGAGCGCCTCACTACATGATGAAAATTGGCATACGATTTAGAAGAACGGAAAGGTAGAAAAACCAACAAGTATTTTCTCAAAATTTCCACAAAACTTTTCTATTCTCACCAACACACGTAGTTGACCATGTGCATATTTTCCCACACGGAGTGATTCAGGTGCGCTCAGTCGAGATATGCACAGATTCGCAAGCCCTCTATTACTTCGATCGTAGAGCCTTGATGGTTACAATCTTGGCAATGGGCAAATTGTATCTGCATAATACCTATAACGACCTAAGATACGCAAAGATCCTCCATACTTGGCCACCAGCTTCTGAGCGGTTTGCTTAGGATCCCGAGCTATAAGGCAAATGGACAGTCCCTCGATGCCGTTCTTGCCGTGAATCGAGTGAGGTACTTGTCTGAAAACGACGACTTCCACAATGGTCCTCTCCTAAGCCTGTATACTACATCAACCGATATTTATTATCAGCTTTTCCCTGTATCTTATCAACATTAATCTGCACAGTGACAGTGTCGCCAGCCTCCTCAGCCAGCAGGTCTCTGGTGGCCTTCTCAGCTGACTTCTTCGCAGAGTACCTGAGGTCGACTCAGATGTGGTATAACGAGCATCAAACATTTTATACAACCTCCCAGGAACACTATGAAACAATAAAAATGAACGTCGGAAGAATGTAGACTTTTCACGTGACGCATTTCAAAAGGTAAGAAGAAAGTTTTCACTTTCTAGACCGGTGGAAAACTCGGATTTTTCCACTGAGGATAGCAGCGAGTCTACAAACAAATATCCGAGTCCTTTTGTCTTACTTAAGGAGGGCATTGAGTGCCTTGGGTAGCTGAGAGTTGCAGGCCGATAGGGAAGACTTCTCCATGGGTGCCAGAACAATCGATTAGTTGGGCGAGCGCTACTCTCCACACGGGTTCGGTGCGGGGTACGAGACGTGTATGTCCATTTGGAGATGCAGAAGGCATGTGAGATGGTGACTAGCCTGCTGACGGCTACAGCACCGGTACAGCGGTGTCCATATAGCACGATGAACGTAAGAGTTAAGGTATGCCTTGCAGTGTCGGAAGACTATGCACATGGTCAACCACATGTGTTGTTGACAAAATGGAAATTCTGAGGAACTTGGGGAAATTCTCATTGGTTTCTGTACACTTCTACCCGAATTCGTATGTAAACTCCTATAATGACTGAGGAATCTCCTAATGGGGCGTTTCTCAGCTGAGGAAAGCGAACATATATTCCAACACTGGTGCCTAGTGCGAGTCGTAGCCGACCTTAAGATGCAACCGTAGGTGCATCTTTTGAAGTTACTGCAGCGGGGAGGTTTCATAAGGGGTTTCGTAGTGGAGGGAAACCGTATCAATATCCTCCTGAAACGATACCAATGTAGGGTGATGCTAAGAGGCCACGTTCGAAGGAAGCTTGGTCAGTTGCTCCCGTCATACGTAATATTCAAGTAGTGTCGAAGCCCAGCCGAGACATCTGGCTCTTGCCTCACGAGCTGAAGGAGCGGACTGGGTGGGTCAGTGATTGGGGCGTTTTATGGTCATTTGAGTGATACTTAGGATGAACACAGGGACTTGGATAATGCAGACTCCTGAAGGGTTCATGACACATCGAGAGTGCATTGAGTTGGGAGTAGGTGGTAAGGTTATCTTTGCTATCAACAATGGTGCACAGAAATGGTGCTGATTGTGATGGAAGCATGTTTCCGATCGATGCCGACCTGTTTTGTAACTTAGTAACTTTAGTGGGGTATCTCATAGTCCTCTGATGTTGTCGTCCACTTGTGGTTAATCATCATCGCTATGGGGAACACCAACGCTCTTTCTGGTAGAAGCAGCGAAAATGTCCCTGCCGAGGATGGAACCTGGGTCGTTTACGTGCGAGGTATGAATGGCTACACACTCACGTATAGCGTGAATCTACATAACGATGCCGTGACAGATCTCATGGAGGAGATACGCAGGGAGATTAGGAGATTGCAGGAACTTCGAACGATTTTCGACGATTCACATTCAGGCCGGAATCGATGTGAAATGTTTCATTTTTTCTCGGTGCAAAATGTTAGCAGTATTAATGGTCGTGAAGCTGTCAAAGTTCACGACAGGTCTACATCGGCGCGCCAAAACATATGCGTACCCTCTCGAATTCCCTTCGTGGTCCGTCTTGTTCTGATATCGCTAGTGCTGTATAACTCCCTGAGGAAGTCGCCCTCCGCACGGGGTGTGCAAGAGGTTCGCTGCGAGAACTACCCACAAAACACCAAAAGTAACACGCAGCCAAACCGAATCCGACTCGACCACTGAAAATGTGCTTGCGTTGACACTGTCATGTCTCCTCTTACAGATGCCGGCACTCTTATCATGCATGAAAATGGTTACCCGTCACTTAACGCAAGTTGATCACTAACAGAATCATATATGACGATAATTGAGTTTGATGCAGTATTCCTACACGTACATCATGGTACTGCCTCGATTCGGTCTAGAGGATGATACTCGTCCGGTACGATATGGCAATCACATTACCCCTGCAGGTCTGCAATCTCGTGCCGACTCGATTCAGTTCGTGCCTGAGCGCTCTCGTTTTTTTGGAGATCTGCCCCGAACTAATCTATGGTGAACGCAACAACATATAATCACGTATTGAGAAAGTCAATCGTTGTAGATAGTCGATTTAGAGGTTTATCAGTCGGATTATCTGATCAGATCGAATAAGCTGGTGACGTCAGCTTATCAGTGGTAGGCGGTTCTACCCTTTGACTACCACAGCCGCACTGAAGGACATTAAAATGGCGGCTCTCGAACGAACAGAATCAAGACAACAAAAATGAATAATCTATCGAGAAAATTGCAATGCCGGCTTGTATCACATCTCATCCAACTCGATGTTTCATCAGTACGACGGATCAAATCAGCCTGATATTAGTTGTGCTGATCAACACTGCCGATCAAACGTTGTTGTGGTGAATCATCGCGCCTGACGCCGCTCCCTTTGTTGCTTAGTTTGAAAACAAGCTTTTGATTTTAGCTTTTTCAAGTGACGACTGATTAACACAAGACATAGTGGAACGTCTCTCTCCAGAAGAAGTCACTGTATAGTTGTGATGAGAGAAAATGTGCAACTACTCTTTTTAGACGGAATGACCAATAGCAACAGCACGTAGCAGCGAAATAGAGCTCATAGTCGACCAAGGTAACACCACGAGTTATACAAGCAGTAACATCAGCAGGAATTCTGGCAGTTCCAGGTTGATAAACACAAACCACCGTTATATCACAGATTCCAGTGCTGTTACACTCGCTAACCGGTATGGTGATGACGAGAGCGAAAGCAATCAATAGTGAATGGAAGAGATTCGAGCCACTACCGCAGGACCCTAACCGACTGAGATCAGAAGCGAAAACCACTTTAAATGGCATTCTAAGGCTTCTCTTCTTCGGCTCTCCTCTGTACAACATGAAAAACTATATTCAGGTTTTCCTCACAACAAACGTCTAATACGACGTTCACAATCATACCATTAACTGGACAACCTTGACATAAAAGCGGGAGGTGTATGTTGGTAGTCCCGATCAGAATTGTTCGACGGATCATCACGACTCTTATCGCGATGGGATGTATGAACTCTATTTAGTTTAGTCTTATAATCAATGACGACCTAACTTGACAGGGACCGTCGCTGGACACTCACTACATAACTAGAGAGATACTTCTGAGTCACCCACTGTGAGTGACCCACATCAGACCAACCGCGACTATCATCATTTCTGATAGAATAATTGCAATGGATTACTAATCAATGGTATCATCACATATGGAGAAGTGCTGTTGTGCATTTCGTGCGGAACCGTCGAGCAGCAATAACAGCACGCGTGCAAGTCTAATAGCATCAGCAATAGGATGCGGCCAGCATGAGGCAAGAAAAGTTTTTAGATGATTTTGGTAAGACCTGTTCTCTGCGATAATACTTAACAGTGGTACCACGAACAGAAAGGGTGAGAACATCATAAGACACCACTGTATCGTGAGGAGAATCATGGTTACCAAATTGACCGCAGTCGATTTTGGGAATGAAAACACTTTTGGTCGAGACAAGAAGTAGGGCAGTCGTTGGCCACTGATTGAGCTGTAGATTCCTCGAGTTCGAGGGCTTGACGATCAGCGCCTGCCTGCACATCTGTATAATACAAGAGCTTGGAGCTTCGCTCTTCGCAAGGGCGAATATGAGCATAGGTGAGCTCATCATAAACCAGAAGGTCATCGTCGTTGTCGAAGCCGCAAGATCTTTGAGAACTCTCGCGGACTTCTACACTACTCTGGCCGGACGATATGTATTGTGGCATCTCACCCGAAGGGAGCTGCAAGTAACTACATGATGACAAGCTTTGAATCATCTATATTATGATGTCGGTCTACCTTGTGGGGACCCATCCCTGCTCGTCCGTAATAAGGCGTTTCACCAGAGACCACTGACCATCCTCAGTCGAAGAACTATACCTGCGACGTGCGGCTGAAATTTGTGGGAAACAACAACACGTTCGCTACAGCAGAGTCTCTCCTTCGAATATCTCCAGCATCTTGTCAGCGGAAGACCCATATGGGATGAAGTCGCATATCACTTCACATTCAGCTAAGGCCAACCTGAAGGTAACAGCAATTACGTTGCAACGACCGAATACCACTGCAGACCTACTCTTCGACATGTTTATCATCGGGTTCCTCTCCCAAACCACTGCCGGGAAGTAGAGAGACTTTCTCAGGAGTTATGCATGTCATCATCTCCGAACAATTTGAGCTGCTTCCTGAATAGCCGTCGAGCTGCTGCGTCCTCCAGATGCCACCCAATGCGCCTGTAATCTGCCAGACAAGAGAACTTCCACTCACATGACACAACTCCTGATGACTCTCACCGTCGTTGCAGTGGAGGCACTTGCGGCAGCCGAGGGGTGCCCGTGAGAATCCACAACCGGTGAGGGCGAGAGGATAAGCAACTGTTCGTTGAAGCCTGTGCTGCTCGCATCAGCCGACGCCTGAGCACAAGTGTCCACAGAAGCATTCAACGGAACATGCGTACCGGAGGAATCTTCAGGAGATTGCCAGAATCCGCCGAAGGTGAAATGTCGTCCCACATGGGAGTGATGTCAGCTGCTGCTGATGATGAAACTGAGAATACACAGATACTCACAGCAAGCAGAGGAAGATCCCTTACTGGTCCCTCGGTGGCCATGTAACGTACCGTGGTTGAACTGCATAGGGCGGTCCTCGTTAGCCGCCCCCGCATCGTGTTCAAGACTGGAGCTCGGGAGAGTCTCCAACATACACTCCCAATGGTGACATACGACCATATGCTCAGGGAAGTCTCGCACACTTCCCACCCATTCGCACGGGGGAGAATTGCTGAGCTCATCGACCCTGAAAATGACCAAGTCCAAGAAGAGGTAAAATTGGACGAGTTCTGCATCTCACTTCTGGCAGCGAATTCGTATCTTGGAATAGACCCTCAGCAGCGCTGCAATAGGCCCCTCAATGGACTCGTTGAAGGGGAAAACCTGAGCATACTAGAAAATCGAGATTGTGGACAAGTCAATCACATTAGGAATATATACAGTGTGAACAAAGTCGCTGACTATCGACTTTGTTTGGCTGACTATCAATGATTTTATGAGAATTTATTGACACTGAAATATAATGGAACTTAATGGTTGTTGTGATGTGTCGTTATACTACTATAGATCACAAAGGCGTTCTCAAACCTCGTTGATACTAATATCCCCAATTTTGAAAAACTATCTCCGAAACACACACTTGCATAACTGCTCGATTCCCAAGCCACAAAATAAGCCCATTGCAACGGTGGTTTACGTCTATCCCTTTCCTAAGAGGACAGCCACAAGACGGGCAAGGTAGAGTCTTGAGCTTGGGCTCCTGTTCCACATTAGCACGTCGCCATCCCTCAAAGCATCTGAGCATCGCAACAAGCCATACCGCAGCATTCATTCAGCCATATACCTACCTAGCACAAGTCATGTGCGCGCATGCCGATGCTATCGTAGGATCAGGCGTAGGGGAGGCGAGAGCGCCACAGATGGAGCACATGTATCTTCACGCACAGCGAAGATTCCATAAACGCACTTCGGTGTGACTTATCCCTACTGTGCAATGCACGGGTCATCGAGCTGGTCCACAAGTTGACTCCTGGATATCTCAAGATGCTTCCCTCTGCTCGCGGGGAGCTCTCGAGCAATCTAACACATACCAAAATGACGCCGATAAAGCATGCCTCACTGTCACCACCTCCAGCGCTCTGCTTCGGAGGCTGGGAAGATCTATAGGCTTCGGTTCAACTGCGGTCTTCGTACAAGACGAGACGCTCTCCTTACCGCATCGACGTCCACTTCTACTACCACTGTTACAAAGTCCCTGATTGTAAGGTTCGACACAAATCATACGAAAGTTCCTACTACTAGCTCAGAAGCTCGAGAGTTCTTCCTCTTCGTGGTATTGACAGAATCCCCACTGCCGTGTCTACTTAAATATATAAGCGAAGGCACAAAGAACGTCGATGAGCCTACCTTGGGCGACCGGGAGATCTGCTGTTGGATGTACTCAAAGGAATGTACTTCCTTAATTCTTCTTCGCTGTGCGCATATCTAAAGATACCACACAGCATACCATTCCTCCTCCTCCTCCTGCTCGAGCCTCTCTTACTTGCATCGAGCACCATTCTTGCAACCGCATTTGCCATACACCTGTTCGTAACAGATAGCCGTCTTGGTAAGGTTCGGCAGAGACCTCAACTCCGCCTCAGAGTGAGCGAAACTGACAGACACACGCAGTCTCGGCACCAGAATTCCGTATCGAGCACCTATCACATCACTAAGTTAACATGGGAATCTTTAGTACGGGATAGTGGCATGGTAATGTGAGACTACCTGCAACGATCGCCTTGAGGACAGGTCCACACACCATTGGCATTCATTCTGAGCTTAGGGCACATCTTGGTCTTCAAGAAAGCATTAGCCTGATGCAAGATGAATGCAATGAGCGGGGGATCTCCTACCACTACCTTTACAGCAGTGGCCATACTCTCTGTGCGATAAACCAGCAGTGTGCCGTCCGGAGCCGACTTAGTGCCAGCGTTCGTAAGAGGCGAACAGGATGTCTACTGAAGAGACTAAAGCAAACGTCGTGATAGGACAGAGACTCACCCTTCTTATCGCGAGTTCCAACTTGGATTTCACAGAGTCCTCGGATTCACGACGAGGTCGTCTATTTTCGACCAGCCTCAATAGTGCTGAAGGACTGCCGGCATCAGCTGTGGTCGAAGCCGACATGGTCCGCTCCGATTTGGTCGTCTTCGTATCATCTCCATTCTCCATATCGTGTTCTGGGTAACTCATCACCATTCTCAGGTAATGCACCGAGAGCCTTGGGGTTGTATATCAAAACTACTACTGACAATAACACAACTCAACCCACCCTTTTCAAAACACTCCAACACAAATCACCCATAGAAAATATGAAATCATTCGTCGTTCACAATCCCGAAACGTCGCGAATAAATACCCTACATCTGCCTCCCTCCCATTGATGACAGTTTCAGTGGAATACTCCACAGTTATCTCAACTCCCAGTAGACTGATAGCTCCACGGCAAAAAAAACTACGGTTTATTTTGGGTCCACGTGCGAAATAGACAGTAACAAGATGCACCATCAAAACAAGGGTGATAATGACATCCGGAGAAAGCCCTAACGATTGACATCCGACTGCCTCGAGACGAGTGAGGATCTTCCCTAAAGTCCTCGTTATTTGAAGACAACGGGAAACGACTAAAAGTGGCTGAGAATGAGAAAATTCGAGATCGCGGAAAAAATCTCGGGCTTGACTTTGTTTCACGAACGCATTTTCCGCACAAGATTTTCAATCACTCGCGTGAAACAGAAGATCTGAAGTTTTCCTTAACAACTGGATGACGAGCCAAAGGGAAAGATAGTCCATGGGCACGTGCATAGAGAACGACCAGTTTTATGTGAGAACTTAGACTGAAAATGGATTGAGAGTGCTCCCGACTATTACTACGTCTTGAGCATCACACCAACTCGTGAAATGCTCATAACTACTGTGAATGAATTTTATTCTGAATTTTCTGGTTGTTTTGCGAAAGTAAATGTGTGAGCATGTCTGAGATGGTGAAACGTATAAGCTCTCCGACATTCTTCTGCCGCGAGAGCAAACACCGACTGAAAAAAAAACGATGGGCACTCGCAAATCTTGCGCTCTCCATATTTCCTCAACGAAAACGTGAAACGACTACGATGTCACTCTACTAGGGTGGATTCCTAAAACGTCAAGTTAATAGTGCTACTCCATCTTCATCAATCAACTACACCTTTTAAAGGCCTATTTCGCCTTAAATAAGATCAATTTCGCAGGGCGAGCAATCATCCGTGCCAAGATATGCCTTAGTAAGATCAATTTCGCCATCGCGCTCGATAGAAAAATCAATTTCGACGACGCGTGTCATTAGTACAATCAACTTCGCCGGCATGTCTGAAGTAAGTTCAATTTCGACAAAAGGCGCAAATCGATTTCGCTGATAGTATATTCAATTTCGCTCGACAGCAGATTTCGATCTCAGAACTAGTAGTTCTGCACGACACCGCTACATGTCTCATCAGGAGAGACTTCCGACATGCATCCGTTAACAATACGCGCACGAGCCGAAGCATCGTGCTTCTTGTATTGCCGTCGTGGCCGTCGACGAGGCAGGACCATCTCCTTCAGCTGAGCCACGGAGACTGTCATCACTGGACTTGTATTGACTTTCGTGAGAGTTACCATGGCTCAAGCGACGAAAGTTTTGTCACGGGAGCCATGGTAAGTTATCATCGGTAACTCTCATCGTCGCCGACGATTCGTCGGAGTTGTGACTTGAATTTGGCATGATGATAAGCTGAACGGGCAGCGTGCAACAATCAGACATCGGATCCGTTACTCCGGCGAAATTGATTGTACTAATGACACGCGTCGTCGTAATTGATTTTTCTATCGAGCGCGCTGGCGAAATTGATCTTACTAAGGCATATCTTGGCTCGGATGATTGCTCGCCCTGCGAAACTGATCTTATTTAAGGCGAAATAGGCCTTTAAAATGTGCATCAATCTCCTCTCAAAGAGAAAAGTTTTACTGCTTACATCAATTGGGCGCGATTGCACGTAGGTGCATAGCTACTCTCCCCGAATAGATTGAAAAAGAGATCTTTGCAAATGAGTGGAAGTCAATGGACAACAGACATTATACAATAATATGTATCTGAATGATAAAGTGGTGAGGGCAAACTGGAGAGCGAACAAAGTTAATAGTAGCGAAGAGTAAATCTGGTTAAATAGTTTCACTAAGGGGATTTGGAGCGGTAAGTCACTGTAGTCCCTCAGGCTCTAACATTAGTTCTTTGAGCACGTAGGATGAAGAAGTCAGTTCGTTTCACTACGCCGCGTTCTAGAGGAATTCCTTAAGATTACGATAAGACTCGATCGATTGGCCTCAACTCACAGAAATGCGAAGGAGTACGTTTCCACGCTCCGCCGAAATCATGGTCGCGGCCCTCAAACTGCATGAGTGTATATATGGGCTGCGTAAGGTCACGGTTTACGCTACGTCTCGCAAACGCGTAAACTCAGATTTCATGCAACTGGAATGGTTTACGACCTTTACGTCCGAGTCCCTCATCGCACAAACGATTGCATTACACATTCATGCGAAGCACAAGTGAAGGAAAGCTCGGAGCAGCTACTCCAAAACGTTATGAAATCAGAGAACTAGCTTTCAGATCTTGCGAGCTTTTTTTCGAGGATGAATGACCCCTAGGACAATCCGAACACAGTATCCGGCTGTCCACCGCAACCCTTGCGATGTAGACAAGAAAATGAGTGGTATTTTGAGACCCTGAGCAGCAAATGTCATAACCTGGTCGAAACGAGAAAGGTGATCAAATTCGGCACGAAATACATGTTTCTCATCAACACAGATTAATTCTCGAATTCGCTTAGAGGCACCTGTGTGTGGAGCTCATCTCTATTATTTGATTACATAGGCAACTCTTAGTTGCTTGACTGCTGCTAGTATCAGATAATCGCGTGCCGATGACCCTTTAGTGAGGACTTTAGAGTACGTCTACTGAGTATACTTCCTGTCGTTTTGCCCATTGCATTTCCGTGAGACCCGTTACGACGCCGTGATTTTACGGTACGGGGCTCAAAGCTTAACCGTAAAAGTCACCCGTAACGGTCCGTAACGTAATTCTACCCATCTAGAGTATACCCTTGTGGCAACGACAGAGTTTGTGGTTCAAATCGCGGCTGGCATACTTTGTAATTGTGAGCTCGTCTACACCTACTTCACCTCCAATGAGGTCACTGTGAGGGAAACATCTCGCTTGGACTCCACACTATCGGAACAGTATTGCACTATGACTGATGATCTGAGTTAACATGAGTTTCCTTCACCACAAGAGTACTCGAACCATCGTACGAACATACTACACACAGAGTAACTAAACATTACAACTGAGCTATCGTGACGCAGCGGTAGACAGTTACGGTCAACTGGTTGATTCTCTAGCGTTTTCGGACAGCCTCTGTGTCGTCCAAGTTGCGCGGCTTCAGTAGTATAACAATGACTGTTGTACAAGAAGGTCAGTAACAGCTTCGCACACAGGAATTTCTCCGCACGGGTTGATTGCATTGTAATCACTTACGAGGCGTTTCATTGTGTGATGGAGTGCGGGAGCCTTAGCGCCGTAGAAAACCACCAACAATCATCGTCCATAATGTGGTGTGGCTGTTTGTCGTCCGTCTGAGCCACATGTTTCCATTCGTAGATTGTTTTTCCCTTTGTATTGTTTGTTCGCCGTCGACGATGGCAATTCATGACTTCCCCCTGTCCCGGACTACCTCGGAGGCTAACAACTTGGATGCCCTTATACGAGAAATTTACCTACTTCAGCAGGCGGGTGCGGTAACTTGCGAGACGTCTGTCACCGGTTTGGTGGACCTCATCAGTATCTCTAATCCAGCTTTGGTGCCTTCATTACTGAGAATAATTCAAGATCAGGACATCTCCATCAGTGAGGAAAATGACGTCAGCCAGCCGACCTTGGATGAGCCTTTGACTACTACTCCTGCCTTTATCACTGCAGAGAACGCTGTGGGACTCGATCGTGAGGCCAGTCCTGGCCTTGCCGATTATGCTGCAAGTCCTGTAGAGAGCTCACGCTCACAAGGCGAAGATTGTGATGACCATGCACCTGCTACAAGTATCGAGCAGACCTCCAATGCTAGTAGTGGTATGGAGATGGTTGAAGTGGATGCTCTCCTCAACAATGAAAATGAAAAGAGGACCACGGTCATGATTAAGAAAATACCGAGAAGGTGCGGCATTTTTGTAAAGTCGTATTGAGCTCCATTATCTACTCAGGTTCACTGTTGCGGCTCTGCGAGATCTTATAGAAAGAGAATGTCCTGCTTTACGACACGGTGGTTATGACTTGTTATATTTGCCCGTCGATACCGCTAAAGTGAGTCTTCTCCGGTACTCGTGGTTTAATCATTCCGTTGTTCTTCAGGTTGCCAATCGCGGGTATGCTTTCATCAACTTCACCACGCCACGCTATCTCCTTGTTTTCACACTTGCTTTCCAAGGCTATGAATGGTTCCCGCAGAGAAGGCGTCGCAGTGAGGGTACCACCAACACCAAAGCATGTGAGATCTACTTCGCTCACATACAAGGCCGTGACGCCACAATCCGCTCGGTTGATCCTACCGGTTCGAAGCGGTCGAACTCCCCCAACTACGAGAGTATTGGTGACGGCAAAGTATGGATCTTGGGTTTTACTGACTCCCGAAAGAAGCGAGGCACGACTACTACTCGTACAACATCCTATATTCCTCCGAGGCTATTCCATCACAATGGGGTATATAAACCACATTATGCGCGTTGCTTGTCTAACGCGTCTACGTCTTCTAACACTACGCCCAGAGGAGATTCTAGCTCATCGTCTTTATTACCGCTGCTAAATCGTGCTGTCTCTAGCTCAAGTCGACGCCAGTCTCCAATGCTGACTAGTGTTTCAGGATGCAGTCGTCATCCTAATACTGAAAACCATGCTGCTGAATCCAGCAATAATAGAGCCAGGTATTTTTGAATGTGTTTTTCGCCCAGTTATAGAGTGTTGCTTCAGTCTCGACTGAAAATAGAGCCCGTCTAATATCTGTTCTCAAACTCTTTACTTCTTGGAGCAAGCTCCCATGCGTTGTCTCTCACATTCCTACCACTTCTCGAACTCTTTCCTGGACATGACTGTTTATTTGGCTGTCCTTATTAGTGCTATCGGCGCTGTTCTACGTGGTACACCAACTGATGAGAGTGAAGTCCAGATGTTCGCTCGTTCCTGTGTCGCCTGTTCGTGGCCGTTCTCAGAAGACATTCGTTTGCCTCCGATTATCACGGTCTCATCGTTGTCTAATCTTGCTACCAATCGCCGGTCATTTCTCGTGAAAAGAAACGAGATTGTGTGGTTGGCAGTTTCGTGTGTATTTCTCGTTCTGCCTCGTTTTATCGCCTCTTCGTAGTACTAGAACCCGTATTGAAAGAATCGTTTTCTGCTGCTCCTACAACTCCCTGGGCACTTGCGTTTTCCCTTTATGGTGTTTCTCCTACTATCATCTATATCATTGCCTATCGTAATAGCGTGAATGTGTGAGTTAACAATCTGCTCGTGGTGTTGGCAGCGTTGAAGGCCTTATTCATCGTCATCATCATTGTCTTCATCGCGACACCTAAAGAATATCAACAGCTAGTCTTTGCTACAGTCATCCATCATTCTTTCCTTTTTCCGACCTGCGTCGAGTTCTGTTAAAGGCTAAGCCTCGTGTCTTCAGTGCTCCTGCTTCCGGACTGCTGCCCTGTTTTATCACATTGTGTAGCAAATGTTTCCATCTTCTCCTGTTGGTCTCAGTTCGAGCCCTAATCTGTTCATTGCGTCATCGATCGACAAACACTTTCGAGACTTTCGCTGTCTGGGGCGGTATCTCTATACTTCTTCGCATGTCTCCTGTGGTTTGGGATGTCTAAGGACAGTAATGCGTTGTTATAGGCTTCAGACACTTGAGATGATCATATTATGTGTTGTGTTCATAGCCAATGATTCTGACGGTTGCTACTATGTCAAGTCACCACCGGTGGAGCCGCGTCTCTATCTTGAATATTATGCTTTGGATCTGATTATATATCATCTCTTTCGAGATGATCGAGCATAGTTTGGTATACGGTTGGCCATGTCCAATATATTTTTGGTAACCCTGTGGTTTTACCATCAATTCATATTGGGTATCGGCAAGTGAATCCCCATACTCCTGTGCAAATGCGACAGCTATGGCTTGTAGTAGTAATAAAACAGCTCACATAGGATAGTTACACTTCAGATGCAGATGTGACAGACACTACAGAAAGGCAATATTGAAGGAAAGCCATGGCTCGAATGCATGCGACCGATAGTTGAGTACCGAAGAAATGCTGAACAAGTCAGCACTCGAAGCAGTAGTGACTGGCGACCAATCATGGAGCAATGAGCGTACTTGTCAACCCAGTCATCCATAGCGTGTGACCGAGTTAGGCTCCAGCTAATTGCTTATGCCGACGGCATGAGCAATTGGCTAGACGCAGTTCCCACAGTTCAGAATTGGCTTATCTACGGCGTAGACGATCGAGTTTATGCCAGCGGAAGGACCAGGTGGTTTCAATCACGGTGTCAAGAATCAACAAGACTGGCACTCACCTTAAACTACGGTAGCGATAGTGACGCTATGAAACTGACGATCAACTTCTTTGATAGTAGAGTTGCATGGTTAGATACAAAGTTGCATTGAAGAAAGCTATCTCATAGTTCGTAAGTGACGATCTGAGCATGTCTTGAGATTCACATGGTGATCACCTTACCATAATTTGTATAATTATACCCCGATTGTCGGAGTCGAACCTCCTTAGGGTCTTAGGGTAACCTATCATTCCGCTACACGAACATTTGGCCTCTCGATTCAATGAACCTGTCGTCGACCGCCAGCTCCATGCCAGAGACAATGTCTCTGAGACATGGAGGAGCTCTGATTCTTGCGAGACCAGCCTCTGGACTATTGAGAGAGCTCGGGGGTCTTGCAAACAGAGATTGTACGCCTCTGTTGACAGCACAGTTACCAGTGTTGTAATGAAATATACGAAAACGGTCATCGAATTTCGTGGCGCGTGACGGTGGTTCTGCGCGTCATTCTGAGAAGACTTTTTTTGATGAATTATGTTCATGATCTCTCCCGCATCCCGAGCCTCCACTGTCATTCACTGTACGGGAGATTCAACTTGAATGACCGTGGTTGAGGGTATTGATCTAATGTGTACGATGTGAATCCATATGGAAACTAACGACTGTGGTTAGCTCGAATAGATCTGTTTTGGTTTTGAATTTGACTTGTTCTCCACTTATGAGCATACGTGTGTAGATTTGTTCAAAGATTAACATGAGAACATCCCGAATTGCTTCTCAATAGATTCTCAACATTTAAGAAGACATTCGTAGTATATAGTTGTGATTCTAGATTATAAGAAACACAGCCCCAAACATTACTCTGCATGGCCGTTCGTTTCACACTGTAGGGGTCATACTTAACGCCCTGGTTTCTCTGGGAACAAGCTCCCGGTTATCACCGTGCAGAGGTTTGAACACCTCTGCCGTACTGTGGTCTGTGGTTTCCCAACATCCATGTCCGCGATGTGCAGGAGTCTGTCGGGTGCCCTCATTTTCCGCTGGGGAGAGTCTCATAGACTGTAGGGCTTCTCGATCTTTCGAACATCTAGTTCCTGAACGAAACCATCAAATCCATGGGATTCGCTTTTCACGCCAAGGAACTCACCCATCGTTCTCAAAAATCTGGAATCCTTGGATACACATTCACACAGAACGGTGCTTATCGCTCAGCGCTGGAAGGTTGTGGGACCGGAGACGAATATGTGGGTTCTAACTAATAGGCCGAGGTCACTAGCACAACCATGGGAAGCGGCTGAGGAAATATGAGAGGGCAGTGAAAGCAATAAAGGGGTCATGGTGCGCGGACTGCTGATGAGGAGACCCTTGAGAAACCATCAGCGGCTTGAACATCTGTTTGATATGTGGAATATATCGATAGAGATGGAGATCGGTCAGGGTAAATCACTCCCGGTAGAAACTATGAATCGGGCCAGGGCGGAGCGAACTTTCTTTGGTTGCGATGTATGTAAGTTCTCAACTGAGTGGAGGGTTCAGGATCTCCTAGGTTTGACTTTGTGTTGTGGATTAGTGCTATTGAGAGTGTATGGTTGGGGGCAGCAGGGTATTCATTGCAATGTCATCTCCTCCACACCTTGGAGGTGCCCAGGCCAGCATCCCGGGTATGGATGCTCAGCAAGGGGAGTCCACTGTAGCCTTTAGCCCTGAGCAGATGGGAGGACTAATGGGCTCGTCAGTGGAAGGGCTCGGAGGCCTGGAGGGAGTGGCGGCCCATCCAGGCTTCGAGGTAGTGCTGGGCTGCGGGAGGGGTCGATGAATGATACCACACGAACTGAGTAGCTTCGTGAGCATTTGACCGACTCACGTTTGTGGGTCTATATTGCAGGCAGTGCTTTTGGACCACTTCTGTGCTCATGGACTATCCTTTGTTGTATTTCCGTGTAGGGTCTTTAGTCTAGTGGTAGGTAGTAGGGGTTTCATCCGGATGATCCGTGTTCAATTCTTGGCGAGGATATTTTAACGGATCCTCTTTTTCTATCAGGCAGCCGCTCTCGCTGCTTTCGCTCAACTGAACAATCCAGCCCAAGGCTCATCACCCCTCCCTCCTGAAATGCTGGATGAGTCCCTGCAGGGTTCACTTTCGAAGAAACGCGGAAGGCCAAAGGGTGCCAAAAAAGGGACCGGCAGGGGGCGCGAAAGCAAGGGTGTGGGGGCTGGCAAGAAGGTAGTCGAAGCCTCCTTCTCCAAATGCTCAGTGTCTGACGCAGGCCTGTTCCGAATGCGGCACCATCAATCCATGTCGTCAAATGCAGTGTACTGAATGCGGCCATGAAATGACTCCCAAGGGAACTACGAAAAGGAGGCGTAAAGTGTCCGTGGTAAGTTTGGTCCCCAACATCGCTGCCCGATATTATCCTCAATTCAGGCATCTGTCATAGGCGATCTATCAGTAAGCCCTCTGGCAGTTGTGCCTCCACTCGGGGATTCGGTTACTACGCTAGCAGTGAGAGGGAAGGAGGCGCCTCCACCTGGCTACAGGGTCCGTCGAAACTTGGTGGGTTTTGCTTACTCGCTAAGCTCAGGCCTGCGATGCATGCGGCGGCCTTCAACCATCAGCTCGGAAGATCTGCGCTAATTGCGGAGCTCCCATCATACCCAAGTCCATGACTTCCCGGTATTGGACGGCCCTCAGGAGCGCGCGCCCCAAGCTTGTGAGCATTTACAGCTGGACGTACTTGGGAGAGACTATTCTGTTGTCTCAGCCGGAGCCATTCCCTCACCCTCCGGACATTTTCCCTTCATGGAACTCTGGCAGCGGTGCCTTTGAGGTGAGCGGAGTGTTCGTGGCTCTTGATACTTCCAAGCCTTGTAGAGACAAATGTGGTTGCTCAGCGAAGTGATTCTCGAATTAGTGCTAATTTTGCGAGGAAAAATACTCTGAATTTTAGGATTAGTTCACTTACAACGCGGAGTTTTTCAATGTTCGTAGGATATCACTACAGAGGATATCGCGAATGCTGCCACCAAGGCGATTGACAGTAGCGAACCTCTCGAGATTGTATTCGAGCACGTGCCTGATCCCTCCGCCCCCGACACGGCGGAGGTTCGTCCAGGGGAGGCGATGTGGGTTAGTGGTCAGGGATGGATCATAAATGCAGGTAGACAAGAAACAGCGTTGATAATATGGTTTTTGATGGGCTCATTAGGCCGGTCGCAAGAATTGATGTCGTTGTCTCCATCCTACAAGAGCAGGCCGATGGTCGCGGCTCTGGCGTCTCGAACGGAATCCATTATAGAAGTAAAACCAATACAGTGTTGCCGTGCTTTTGAGGTCCTCACGCTCAGTTGTGGCCCTTGGAGAAGGATAAGGTGCAGAAGGTCAGGCGGCTGATCGTAGGTGGCGATGTCGCAGACTTCCACTGGGTGGAGTTCAGTGCTACTTCGTCGAGGATTGGTACGAAGATTTTGAGTTGCTCCGTTCGCAGAGAAGTGACTAGGTATCCTATGCGTGTTGTTCTGTGATGGCCACGCGGTGCTGTACTCTGTCTCGAGCTCGATATTACACCCGTCCTCCCTGAAGACACCTGCTTTGCTCAAGCTTCGACCGTATGCAGAGATCAGGCCGAGCAGGAGATGCTTAGGCATACACGCTGTGCGGAACCGTGACAAGATCTGGATCTTGGCTGGCCTTGAAAGCGGCTGTGCTGCTGTTTTCCGAGTAGACGAAGGAATTGGTGACAAGCATGGGTGAGGAAGGTGCCGTTCTCGCTGCTACCATTGACCTTTGTCTAAACGTGATTCGATCCCTGAGTGTCTACTGTCGAGTCATTGTATTCATCGTTGCCATTCAAGCTTCATTTTCAGGGAAGTCCTGAGCAAGCCCCTGTCAATATTGAGCTGCTCGGGTTTCGGAGAGGTCTCCCCATTGCTCGCAGTCCAATGGGCACCAGTAGAGCCTGATAGCGATGAAGCTCCTGAATTATTCGCAGTTGCAACTCGTAGGGTTTGAACCTGGGCTCTCTGCTTGTGAGTCGCACGCTCTACCGTTACGTCAGAGAATGGTTCTGTGTGGGTGATGTCCACATCGTGCCCTTATCCCCTCGCCACTGCGGCTTCCCCTGCTAAGTTCTGGGTAACTGACCTGTGCTGGTCGAGGATGACCCCCGATGTGAGCTCGAGTTGCCTTTCCTATCGTACGAGTGTGTTTCTGTTCAGCACGTCTTCTTGGCGTGTCAACTCGCTCTGGCAATTGACGTCACGTGTCCACCTTCGGGGAGCTGGGATGTTCGCCGCTGTGACTTGGCGGGAACCAACAGGTCCCTACTGCAGGTGGGAGGAGGTGCCCTTCTGCCTTGCTTTTTATGGCAGCTGCTACTATCAGTGCAAATTCATGCGACCAGAAGTTCGACAGGGGTACAACAGCCAGGCATGCAGTGCCTTGCAGACATCAGCCTATTCGCCTTGGACCTTCACCGGCTGGACGGACGGTTTCCTTATGGTGAGTGTGGAGAATGCAGCTTGTTGTGTTTTGTTCAAGTTGGAGTTTATCTCAGGGCATCAACACATCGGATGATCTGGCTCGCTGGATTCAGTACCTTATTGCGCGGTTTAGCTATACTGCCGTGGATGCGTCCAAGACTTTGAAGTCGCATATGAGCACGATGACTGGTAGCTCTGTCCTAAGCACATTCGTGGAGTTTGGAAGCAACATTTCAGGATCCCATGCTTTCTCTGAAGTGCAGCATCATCGGCAAGCCTTTTTCTCGGGTGGTAACGTACGAATCCACTGCGAACTACAAAGACCCATTACGAGGCCGGTCAGAAGGCGGAAGGCCAGCATACTTAGGTGAGGGGTTACCTTGTGTGAGTGTTCAAAGGCGACTGCTTTCAGTGGTGGAGGAACAGTAAAGCCCATGCCTGGTGACCCTATCGCAGCCGTCTGTGTTCGAACTGGACATTCTGAGTAAGTCCCGATAGTGTATGCAAAGAGTAACATTTCTCATCAGGCCCACTGACCATGTCGTGGCAACAGCTCTTACCGGTGGACTTGTGGTTATCCAGAGCACAAGCTACCTTTCTAAAGGCCCCCAAGCTCCACGGTCTAGGCGTTGAGCATTCTCCCTGTTGTCTCTGATAATGAATATGGCCAAGAATGTTGACTTCAAGCCTACTATACCATTCAAACGTCTTTTATCACCATCATGATATTTATCGTACGAGCTACTTATCATCGTATCGCTATAAATGCTCTTGGAATTAGTTTCCATATCATAAGGCTTTGTGTTGCCTATAGTACATGGGAAAGTTACGAATCATGCATCGCTACGCCCCGCTAGAGTCGCCATTAGCGCGCGCCCCGGATGCAAAAAATAGTGATCGGTTCCATCAGACTTGTCGTGGTTGTAGTTGATGTGCCCGTTGTCATGTATAGTACGCAGCTCTCAATTCCCCCCATTGGTGCTTTTCCTTTGCCGGCGCCTATTCAGTGCATCCCAGCCTCTGTGAAAGTCCCCACTATGGTGTCTGCTCAGGGCAAGGTCGTGCTCGGTGTAGTGTCTGTTGGCACTTGCAATTCCCCTTATTGCGGGCGTGGCTGCTGGTTTGCCAACTCTAGTCGAGGTTGTCGTGAAGGACCCGACTGTAAACGATGTCACAACATGGATTGTGCCCTTCCCGCCGACGAAGAACGCAAGGCGAACCGGAAGGCAAAGTCCCGTCAACGCCCTTCTAAGAAGAAGCGTGCTAAGCTGGCTCTAGCTTATGCTCGTGCCACTGAGAATGGTGAGAGTCCTATCAAGCCTCCTATGAACAGACAGTATCTGTCTGCTATGAAGCGCCTCGAGATGCTCAGAAGATCTGAGTTGGCTACACAGACTGGCGTCGATGTTCCTGCTTGTTCCCCTCGTGATTACGGTGCGGTATATCGTGATCTACTCTCCGAGTGTCTGCTTACTGATCCCACATCTACTGATAGTTCCTCGCTATTGAGCAACGCTAGCAGAGGCTACTTGTCACCGTCAAGGTCTGATGTGTCTTCGTTCGGTGGGTCCACCTTGAGTAGCAGCAACTCCCTTGATCACATCAATCGTGACCAGTCGTTCGATAGTGTTCTAGGTAGTTCACCCTACCCGTTGACTCTGAGCTCTGTTGATAGTGGTTGCTCGTTGCCGCCCTCTCCAAGCGTTGATCTAATGAATGGTCTTGAGGAAGCTAATGCATCGTTGTTCGAGTTACTACCGCACTTTTCTGACGAGGAGCTCGAGCTTGAGCTCCTGTTGCAGGAGAGCCTCTCGGCTGCTTGCCAACAGGTGTAAGATCAGCCATATACTTATGTGATCATACTGGTTATGCCCATCATGTCAATGACGAATGAAGCAGCCTCCGCGCTTAGTGTGGTTGAGCTGTTTCCTGCTGTTGTTTTCTTATATCTCATCGTGCTGAGAAGCAGATGATGACCAGTTGTTCATTTTCCGTCTAGTAGGCGTAAGGTATTTCCAGAGGTAACTCGACGTAAGCCCTACGGTTCTTTTCTCATCTTTGCCGTAGATTGCCATTATCCCTAGCTGTTAATCAGCTTACCTCACTTCGCCTTTCAAGACTTCTACTACTCATACTACTGTTCTCTGGCTCTTCTAGGAGCCATCGGCAACTTGAAGAGCCTCTGTTGGTAAGGTAGCATGTCACCTCTTCAGGGAGGTCATTCAGTTGCCTACTACCACCCCCATTGTTATGCTTAATATATCCCCTATATCTTACTGTACTCGTTCCCATAGCCCCCTCTGCATTCGACTTCAACCCTGCAACTCGTTAGATTCTATCTCAAATCTTGGCCTCGCAATAGCCCGATTGGGATGTTATTTAACGCGGTCGTTGGCACGTAACCGTGGGCCCTCAGTTGTTGTGATAGCGACTCTGGGAGACTGTATAAAGTGCGTGTTGGAGCCATTGTGGAGGAGGGTTATCTTTTCTGCATCTACTACAAAGCCCTTTTGGTGTCCTTGTGTGTTCTATGAGGCCGAAGCCTCTTTACTGAATTGTTGTTTAGTCTGTCTACCTAAACCATTACGGGATATACTTTTCATTCCGATAATGAGCATCTGTTGTTCCCAAATGGCGGAGTAGTAGTTGAATTAACTCAATTCGTCGTAGCTTGTATAAGCTATAACCGGATAACCGTTCCGGGAATGTGCTGTGAGAGCTTTCTCGCGATTGGTCGCGATTCATTTACACTGCGTGAAACGTGGTTATATAGTTATTCGTTCATCTCCCTTTATGTTCTGGCTTGTGTTGTCTAGTGGGAACCTCACTGGGTGTGTGGCAAATTTGTGAGAGTTATCTTGTTGTACGCCATTTAAGAACACCATTCTGTGTCACGCGAAGGTCGGTATAATACTATCTCGAAAATGGCACTATCACTCGCTCGACGGTTAGAGCGGGAGACTGACATTATGAATGATCAGAGGGATGGCTTCCTAGTAATGGTACTAATAGTAATAGTCTTCAAAATGAATTCTTCTCGATGAGCGCGTCGAAAAGCAAGAGTTGGGCAATTGGAATTCGGAGTTTACCTCAAAGGTGTGCGAATTTGGTTGTGCTTGGTTTATTACACGATCCTCCTCCAATGTCTAAATGACATTCATCAAGCTCATCAGAGAGCCATGGAGTTTCAGCTGGAAAGCGGCTTTCAGTGTTGTCGGTTCGACGACGAAGGCCAGCCTTCGGTCGTTCAAGGTATGCATGTGAGTTTAAAGTTCAACGCCAACAACACGGCTTAGCCAGACTCGCATCTATGCACATTAGCTCCCGAGGGATTGCGTCATGCCAATGAGTTTTGCCCACAGGGCGAGATAACCTCTAACACCGACATTGCAACTAAAGATCGAACTCCTCGTTCTCGTCAAAGATCGCCATTGATGAGCAAACACTAGTATTGACTCAAATCGGCGTTGATAACTCGACACTGTTAAAACCTTTCTGATAAACAATTCTTAGAGACACAATGTGTCATATGTTAATAACGAACCCACAGGAATCCTGATGAATTTTTTAATGGTAAGACACGACTAATTCGAAACCCAGAACTCTCTGCGATCCAAAAGACGAACCAACAGAGGTTCTTATCGAGAACCTAAATTGTACTTCTTGGGTTGGAGGAAGTAGTCGATGACATTTTTAACGACGACTTCGAGCTTCTCCTGAGCCTTCTCCATACTCTCCTTATCGTTAGCCTCACAGTAGTACTTCACCTTGGGTTCAGTACCAGATCCACGGATAGTAACAGTAGCTTGATCATCGAAGTAGAGAGTAATCATCTGAGCATCCGGTGTCATTGGTAATGTAGACTTCTTATTCTTCCTCCTTGAATCATAACCAAGAGTAACATCACGAACATCAGCTATCTTAGATGACCCGAGCTCAGCCTTGTAGTTACCCTCATTACGGAACTCATCAAACATCTGTTTCATAACCTTAGGATCATCACAGATGAAGTAACCGTTGTGTTGTGCGAAGAAACCGACCATCTTACGGAGTTCATTTAGTCGTTCAAGAAGAGTGATACCTTTCTCCTTACGCCAATAGTTAGCCATCTCACACCAGACACTGCAAGCACTGATACCATCCTTATCAGGGACACTCATCGTGAGGGCACTTCCTAGTGCCTCCTCATAAGCCGTACAGTGCACCAAATTGGAGTGTTCAGCGGTCATCTCCAACGACTTGTTAGCCATCCATTTGAAACCTGTTAGAGTATCCTCATACACTCCACCGTAGTAATCAGATAACGCCTTCAGCATCTTAGACGATACTGTGGAATTGATGACCAGACAATTCTTCGGGTCGACACCACGACGATGAGCCACCAACAGTTGCCAATCTCCAAAGATGGTACCAAGCTCATCACCAGTGAATTGATGCCATGAACCGTCCTTCTGCTTCTCGCAAGAAGTAAAACGATCAGCATCAGGATCATTTGCCAATACATAATCGGCATGCTCATCTATTGCCTGTTGCTTGCTCATGTCGAGTGCACCCTTCTCTTCGGGGTTGGGGAAGGCGACAGTGGAGAACTCAGGATCAGGGTGAGCCTGCGCTTCCACGATCGACACACACTTCTTGGGGAAGCCAAACTTGTCCATCAAACCAGTAGCGAATGGAAGACCAACACCCTGCATAGCCGTGTAGACGAACTGTAAGTTGCAGTCCTTGTTGAGGTCAGGGAATCGGCACAGCTCGTGATACATCTGACCGATGTAGGTGTACAAGGCATCATTGTAAGGATCGATGGTCTTGGACTTGTCCTTTAATAAACAGGTATCCAAATCCAACAACTCCAAAGCATCTTTCCATGGAACCAAATTCTCAGCAATCTTAGCCTCGATCTCGGCATCAACTGGAGGGATAATTTGAGCGCCGTTATCGCCGTATACTTTGAAACCATTGTACTGCTTCGGGTTGTGGGAGGCTGTCATCTGACCACCAGCTAGAGCATGGAAATGAACAATCAAGAATGGATTGGAAGGAGTAACACTGGTCTTGTCGATGAGGTAGACTTTAGCACCTTTCGTGATGAAGACAGCCGAGGCAACATGAGCGAATTGACGAGAATTATGACGTCCATCATAACCAAAGACGACACCTCTCTGGGAGAGAACATCTTCACCAAACCTCTCGATCAATTGCATACATAGTCCTTGAGCAGCTTGCATCACAGTCAAACAATTGATACGGTTGAAGCCAGCTCCCATCTCGCCACGAAGACCAGCGGTACCAAATTCCATACGATGATTAGGATTGAGGCGATCTTCGATCTCCTCAGGAGTAAGCTCTTGGGCTTCCTTACGGGTGTTCTTATCGAAATCGAGAGAAAGCCAATTCTCAACTGCGCTTGACATAATAGACAGAAACTAAAAACTTAACTGAGAGGGAAATCATTGTCAGTGTCATTGACCCCACTTGGATTCGACTACATAAACCCCACTGACTACAAAACCCTTAATGAAGGCTCGGCTTTTACTAGCACTTAAGCGAGGATCAACTTGTCCCATTTCAGTGGGAATTGCGTCGACACACATCTTGTCCCAACTTACGTTGTCATGAAGCTGGCGAGAACCGTCCTTCAGAGTAAATGTATGTATCAATTGTGTATGATAGCCTATTTCTGGCGAAAGGTGAGATACGCTCACCGACAGCCACCGCCTTCATTTGTCTGTTGGCACGAGGTAAGCGACTGCAGTGCATCAAGAACGCTTGAAAAGGCCAGAAAGTCAAGATGACTACGTATGATGGAGTCGTTAAGCATTAGCTGCTCAGAATATGAGCTCGAATCGCCTCACTTGAGTGTCTGGATCCTCACTAAGCTCACATCTCCGAATGTGAGGCGCCAATTCCACTCCGGTTATTCGATCAACTATCTGAAGAGATACACTCTTAAAGATATGCCCGATGTAAAATAATGCGTATTTGATAAGTTATGCATTTTTCGGTTTCGGACTATCAAAATCGAACACACTGCAGAGTGTGTGACGTGACTTGTCTACTTGAGCGTACGCTTGTCCTGTCCTTGGGGATATAGATTTACACATATATGATATGGTAGATTATGAAGCCGCGATTAAGACTCTCATCAACCTCCTAACGTATGATAAGGGTTGAAGTTGATCTCGGCGTCTGCACCGCCATAACATAGCATGTATGCAGTTTTCCTATGGCTTTTGGACGTAGAGTCGCCTCCGGCCACCCCTAGCAATAAGGGGAAATATTATGTCCTTAGGCGGAGTTTATGTTATTTCTTCTCATACCTTTGTTGAAAGCCTCATGCGTAAATGCGTTGCATTCTCTACTCCGGTTTTTTCGTATCCCAATACGTCATCCCACGGCTGTCAATTTACGCGTATCCTCGCACTCAACCGTTCCATAGCTGTTGGAAAGGATAAAAACATAGACGAGTAAAACCCTGAGATCATTGTCATGGTTCAGTGTAAATGTCTCCACTGGATTTTACCATGCGATCGGACTTCCCATCGGTCGTGGAGCTCAGCAGCTCTAATTTCTTAATGAGACCTCAATCTGTATAGATCGTTCGTGTTTTCAAGCGAGACCGCACTAACCGAAGAAACTACTAAAAGCAACACCGATGATTCTCAGAAAAATTCTACGATACAATGTATCGCATATTAAGTTCGGATCCAGAAAAAGAATGGATCGTGATGAATGGTCATATGACGAAACACCGCTTGATCGTAGCCCAGAGTTCTCTGGAATCAGAACGATGAATCAACAATTGCCTTATCGAGAACCCAAATTGTACTTCTTG